ACGGATTTGAAATCCGTACCTGACCACCGTGCATTTCTAGACTTCCTACCTAAAGCCCTATGCTGGTTAAGCACATCCGCACCGGCATGGTTCAGAACCACACACGACCACGAATTTCTGTCACTTTGACTCTGTATAGATATGTGGGGAGTGTCATGCGCAGTATACAATAGCCTCTAGTTATAAGTTATAAGTGACTATAAGGTACAATAGATAGTTCACTATGAACTGTCAATGGGGGATAAGCAACCGGTGCCGAGTTCCATGCCAAGACTTCCCAATTAGGCCTGATGCTCCGGGTCACGCGCCTACATGTACAAAGGTTGAAACGTTTTTGCAAGTTTATCGCATTTATTCGCGCAGCTTAGACTCGAAAGATATCTGTTGCTCTGCCCCTCTGCCCCTCATTTAGCGCCATGACCCCCCCCAAAGAGGTGCAACCGCCACTCATTTCATCCTGATAAGCTGACAAGATGGCAGCTTTGATCGTGGTGGGGATACTGCGACCATTCCGTTGTCCCCCCGGGTCTCGGCATTCACCCCGATCTTGGAAAACGTGGGGTGAAACATGCCGGGGAAAGTAAGACGTGATTTACAGCGCCTCGATCGGTGGCTTTGAGTCCCTTATATCCGGTGGGTTGCTAATGTAAGTGCGAGTGGAGTGAGGGTAAATATGTACATCATTGACAGTCTCTGTTTGCATATGCAGAATCCGGTTTCTAGGTGTTCAGGTCTAGTGCAAGTATGCCTAAAGCGTCTTCCGGGTTTCCGAAGTCTGTTGAATCCGATTCGGAAGTAGGCTCGGCAATGTAAGTTCAAAGGGAGAATGCCGTCTACCCCAGACTCTGGTGATTCGCTGAGAATTCTGGGGCGGAAAAGGCCGGGGGATGTAATGAGAATACCATACACTTACTTACCTTTGCCACGGTCATGATTGGAGTCCCACAACTCCGTAATCTAGAAGAATTCTTCCATTTTCAGCCTATGACTTTTCAGTAAATACATGTGACTTCAATCACCTGAACTGAACTTATGATTCATCCGAATATCGGACGTTAAGCACGTGAAGTCGGCAGGCCGTGGAGTGCGGGATATAATCTGGACTCAGGGGATATTGGTGAACTCCGGAATTCCGGGGCTGTGGAGAGGATCCCGTTAGAGATTTACACGTCTTCTTACTGGGTCCTCATATTGCAAAACCAGTCGAAGCAAGCCTAGAGGGCGGATACTGAAGGCCTCGACTTCGTATTATTAATGGCTGCACCCAAATGGAGCCTATACGGAGACTATTATATCCCTCAATTTGATTTATGATCGTCATTGACTTATATCTACAGGTAGATATATGTACTCTGTAATTAGAGCTAACGGACTAAATAACTAAATAACGGAAAAATAAGAACTGTGGACTGTGGACGTGAAGAGTCCAAGGCTTGCGAATCCCCTGATTCACTGACCCGCTATATTCCCAGGATCGTCACGAATTTTTATTTCGGCGTATTTCGGAAATCCCACGGTCCACTCAGGAAAGAAAAAGGGAATAAATCATTAAAAGATTAAACCCTGTAGAAATAATAGAATAGAATCAAATAAAATAATACAGGGTTTCATTTGTGTTTATACTTTAGCATATAGCCGACTTAACCCTAACTAAAAATGAGAGAATATACGCGACTCTTCAGGATAGTCGACATCATTTTCACATGGAGACGATCCTGCGCACGTGTAATTAACAGGCAGAAAAGAAAAAGCAAAAAAGGAAAAGAAAAGACATGAGACACTAAAAGACCCAACAGAAGAACTGCAACGTGACCGGGCCGAGGGACGGTATACGGCACCGGACTAAGCCAGTTTCGGGGGGCAAAATGAGTAAAGTGACGCAGTTAGAGAGAGAGAGTGGAGGCGTGGACTTGTGGGGAACCCGAATCAGCTGTGTAATTTATTTCCCCGTAACCTTTGATCGTCCCAAACCTTGGCTGGTCTCGGACCTGGGGGCATCGTGACTTCTTTTACATAAAGGTTCATTTCCCCCCGGGCCTGCGCGCCTGAGGATTTTATAGATAGAATTCCACACTCTCCACTCTCCACTCTTCCTTACCCTCTCCACTCTTCTCTTGTCTTTTCTTTCATTTCTTCTGATATTCGTCCTTGGGTTCTCACGTGCTAGTATATAATTCGGATGTGTCCCCAATTCACTCAACTGCCATTGCGACAATGACCGACACCGAATCTGGAAAACGCAAGGCCTCCGGCCTTGCAGGAAATAATCGTCCTGTGAAGAGACGTGCCTCCAAGGCCTGCTGCTGTTGCCGTGCCCGCAAGGTGCGCTGTGACGTGGTAGAAAATGGCTCTCCGTGCACCAATTGCCGCCTAGATCAGGTCGAGTGTGTGGTGACGGAGAGTAAACGGAGAAGGTATGTGAATATGGAGACAACTTCAACTCAGAAGCTGACAGGTGTCTAGAAAATCTCGTGTGGAGACAGACAACCACCATTCTGAATCTCCAGGCGAGGCATCGGAGGAGAATCCTTTCCATGGCCGCCTCAGTGATCTATCAGGGTTGGCTGATATGGTCCCTACGTCGCCCTCGCAGGCTTCCGTGGATTTGGACCAAGGCCAACATATGCCGCATCTGCTCTGTTCGTATTGGCAGTTCGACTTGGGGAAATCCCCGGCTAATCGATTCTCCAGATCAAACACAGGCCCAGCGCATCGGTTCCGATGGCCGGCATCAACGCCGCATGGCCTCCAACCCAGCGGTTCCCGCTTCGATGCCGTTAGCCAATGTCACTACCCAAATACAACATCTTTTAGATCCCAACTTTGGCAACGCCCGAGCCGGATTCCTCCCAGACTACATTCGAGGGCTCCCTGGACGACTCCAAAAAGATGATATCGACTACCTGGCCATTAAAGGCGCCCTCACCATACCCGACGCGACCCTCCGCAATGAGCTGCTGAAGAGTTACATCCACTATGTGCATACGTATATGCCTTTGCTCGATCTGGAAGAGTTCCTGCAGACCATCGTCCATAACGATGGCATCCACCGCATCAGTCTGCTGCTCTTCCAGGCAGTCATGTTCGCCGGTGTGGCGTTCATTGATATGAAGCATCTGCAGGCTGCGGGCTACCAGACCCGCAAGGTCGCCCGGAAGGTCTTCTTCCAGCGTGCCCGGCTCCTGTATGACTTTGACTACGAGGTGGACCGCATCTCGCTCGTTCAGTCGCTTTTGCTTATGACTTACTGGTATGAGACCCCTGATGACCAGAAGGACACCTGGCATTGGATGGGTGTCAGTCTGTCTTTGGCCCATACCATTGGTCTGCACCGGGACCCCGGGAACTCTCGCATGGATGTGCGCCGCCAGCAGATGTGGAAACGCATTTGGTGGAGTACCTATACTCGTGATCGATTGATTGCGTTGGGTATGCGCCGACCGATGCGTGTCAAGGATGATGACTGTGACGTGCCCATGCTCACCCTTGACGACTTTGAATTTCATCCTTTCTCTCCCGAGGTCGTGGCGATGGTCGGCAACTCGGAGATTCTCCAGAATGTCGCCCACCAGCGCGAGCTTGCGTTGATGTTCATCGAAAAGGCCAAGCTGTGTCTCTGCGTCAGCCATGTGCTATCTGCTCAGTACTCGGTCTTGAGCCACAAGTTCGGCGGTACCATGGAGACTACCATGATGCTCGTCCCGAAGAAGTCCACTGCAGAGACTTTTGAGGTTCGACGCTGTGACCAGGAACTGGAGGACTGGCTGGCCAATCTCCCCATTGAAACTCAGTACACTGCATCCAACAGCTCAAAGCTGTCCGAGGTTGATGAAGTACTGCACTCACACCGCGCCCTGCTCAAGATGGTCTACCTCACCACATCGAGCGCTCTGCACCGCCCACAAGTCCTCCCAGCCCTCCCTTACCCTTCCACAGATGCCGAACTCCAAGATATGTCCCGCAACAAGGTCCGCTGCGCCGCCGTGGAGATCACCGCCATCGCCCAGGACCTGCACTGTCTGGACCTGACCCGGTACTACCCCACGACCGGAGTCACCGTCCTCCTCCCCGCAGTCATCATCCACCTCCTCGACATCAAGTCCAGCGACCCCAGCATCCGCATGACTAGCCTCCAACGCTTCTACCAGTGCATGCGCATCCTTCAGCGCCTGCGCGAGATCTACGCCTCCGCCGACTTCGCCACCTCTTTCCTCGAAGCCGCCATCCGCAAAGCAGGCATCCAGCTCACCGTCTCCCCCCAAGACGTTCAGTCCTCCCGCACCCGTCCCCACAAGTCCAACCCCACCGCGGATCCCTTCGTCTCACCTCCCTCCCGCCTCAACACCCTCACACCACCTCCAGACTCACTCGCCCAGAAGATTCCCGATCTTACCTATCCCAACCACACCGGAACTTCCGCGGGCGGACGGTCTACCGGCGACCTGTTCGCCTCAACACCACCCCACTCGGATGAAAGCGAGAATGGCAGCACGAACAACCTCAACCCAAATCTCAACCCTAAAGATGCTTTCACCATGCCGTCGGAAATGAGTCTTACTGAATTGATGGATCTGGCCAATGATGCCGAGGTCACTCAGAATGACTTTGATGCTTTGATCAACTTTGACGAGGCGAGCAACACCGACTTCTTCGCGGCTGATGATGCGCAGCAAAATGAACCGGAGGAGAAGACATTCGGGTTCAGCGTGGATAATGTCGCCATTCCGGGCTTTGATACTGAGCCTAAAGCAGTCGATTTCGCCCATCTGGCTGAGAATACCATGTCGAAGCTTGAGGCTACAGGAGCTTCAGAATAAATCGAATCATCTGAAGAACCTACAACGATACGATGACTGGTTTTGTTTCTCGATCAGGACCTGCGGGAAATTGCGAAGGCGAAGGAATCGCCTGGCACCAAAATTCATGACCAAAATTCATGATGAATCATGTACAGTTTCTTTTTCTTTTTTATATACAGTACATATTTATAATGATGAAGATTATGATTGCGGATCTCCCGTCTGTCCTTGCTCCTCCATAAAGATAGGATCCCAGAAATTGGTAGGCAGAGAAAGATCCAAGAATTCTCCGAATAGCATGTCGATACCGGCGAACCCGTCTTGCATAGACGTTGCATCTAGTTCGCCTAGTGGGGGCTGGAGTGCATCAATTGCTGTTTCCGGGGTTGAGGGATCGGCCGATACATTGTAGTTGGTATTGCGTAGTGCCCTGGCTTGGTCGTGCTCATTGCCGCTGGGCGCAAAGTTCATTGTGTCTAATCCCTCTGCCACTGATGTGCCAGCAGTGACCTGTTTGGGCACAGACTCTATCTGTTGCTGTTGGTGCATGGTGTCTCGGGAAGAAGTCTGTGGCTTGCCCTCGATTTGGTGTAAGGCTTTATGTCCAAGCCGGCCCATTGCTTCCGCTGAATACCAGTACGGGCTAAGAGTTTCTAGTAGAGAGCAACAAGCTTCTAGACTGGCTTTGGCCCGGTCGAGGTGTGTGATTAGTCGGCTTGAGCGGAGTTGGCGGTAGGAGACACCCATTGATAGGGTGATTGAATATGGCACGATTGGGAGGGGTGGGAGGTCATCGCACTCTGATGCGACGATGGAGTGGATGCGCACGGCTGATAGGCCCTGCCGGACCGTTGAGAGTCTGGTGCCGTCTATGTTTTCGGCTAGTTTGTGTCGACATGAGAGGATAGCGACGGAGTGGTAGTAGAGTTCCAAGAAACCTGTCTGGGATTAGCTGTGGACCTTGATGACATGGATGCTATTTCATGTTTACCTAGTGTAGCATAATCCAGGTCTTCCTGGGCATCCTCTCCAACGATGTCTTCAAAGGCAGGGAACCCCTCTTCCCACCCACTGGAAGGATCTGCGGAAGGCCGGTAGTATGATATCACAGTTGCTAGCAGGTCTGACACAGCCAGCCAGACCTCGAAAGCTCCTCGAGATCTCTGAGCATTGACGTCGGGTTTCACGACGCCAATATCGCGGTCTGCCAGGAGAACTGGCCGGCCACCGATACTTGCATGCATCTTATCCAACGTCCAAAGACACCAGAAAAGTTTGGTCAAGGAATTGGTAGATGTCTGGTTTGGCCGGCCGAGATGCAGTCCTACGGTCTGGGCTTGATGAATGGCTTGGCAGAGGTGTAGAGACGCTGCCTCGGCGCCTTCATATCCTTCACAGTGAAAAGACATCAATGCGAGCACCTGAATTCGGGTCAATCGATCCAGCTCTAGCCCTGCATCCATGGCAACAACAAGCTCCTTGTAGATTTCGGAACAGAATTGACGCGATGAAAGCACCGGGCCATTTGGCACAAGACGCAAGTAAGAACTCGCGCCATGAGTTTTGGCTGCAGTGAGGCAGATGGCTTTCTCGAGAAATACAGAAGTAGATCCACCGGCCTGTGATCGGAGGAATGAATCATGGTCTAATATCGGTATGATATGATTGACCTTGGAGAAATAGATAGCAGCCAACGGTTCTTTAGTCGCCAAAGGCAGACGTTCGCATGCCTGTAGGCCCGCAGCAAATCGTTCACGGAGCGACGCTGCAGCGGCTTGGCTACCTTTCAATGTTGATGAAATAGACGTGGAGTCTTCACCAGTGATTGTTCCTTTTGATTTCTGGGCCTTGGACTTTTGTGCAGCGGGCGAGCTGATCCAAAGCCCGATACGGTCCCGCAGAGGATTTCCAGTCTCATCCAGCCTCTCACGAATGACAGCTTCTGGATTGAGGTCCCCCACGAATCGCTCGGTAGTAGGAGCCGACAAGTTTGGGCCATCCGATGCTGCCCGCGGTCGGTCTATGCTTGCGGTCGAATAAGGTAGGTAGCGATTCGAGCCATCTCGGCGAGTCGTTCGGGTGGTAATATCATTAGGTTTAGAGATTTTTCGGCGACTCGAAGCATTATTATTAAAGGGCTCTCCCTCCGGGTTTAGGTGTCGACATCGTTTCTGTTTCGTTAGCTACAAGATTTGCTAGTCACAGTTGTGCACGCACCTTTGATCGCTGGCATTGGGGACAGGCGCGCAAAGCTCGAGTACGGCTCCGCGACTGGGGAATATCTGGAAGCCAGGTGAGTTCCATGAGGCCAGGATCACACAGCTGTGGAGAGAGAAAGAAGTTGAATGCGGAGGTTGCGATATAAGTTTATCGATAAGGAGCTGCCAAGCCTGCCTGCTCTACTTCCACTACATCTACATCTACGGAGTATACGGAGTATACTCACAGAAATTGAATCAATATAAGACAGAGAGCTAGATCACACTTCAACTATTATTCGTAAAAGCAGTACGGAATTTGAGATTGTAGCCTATTACTATGCAGCCTTCCAACTCCACATACTCCTCACTGGAGACGCGAAAAGCCTTATTTGGAAATAATCCAACAGAATATGACAAAAAAGAGTTAAACCGGATCTGAAGAAGGACCCTCTGATTCAGCTGCAATCAAGGCTTCTATAGCATCGTCGTCGTCAAATTCATCAACGTTGGCTGGCTTGGCCTTGACCTCCGCAACCTTGCTAGACTGAGGCTCGGCTGCGGTTTTGTTAATCAGAGTAGTGGAATTCTCCTTGTCAGAAGTACAAGTTGGAGCCGAGGCGACCTTTTTGGTCGGTACTAAGCTCCAGTCAATGATTTCGTCCGCACCATACCGCGTTGCAAGCCAATTATTGCACTTCTTGAAATGTCCATTTTCGAACTACACATCATGATCAGCAAACAGGTCCCAAGTCTCGAGAATGGATCTACCTACAAAGCCATGGTGCGCACTCAGCGGGCTCGGATGCACCGATTGTAAGATGCAATGCTTCTCTCTGTTGATCTTGGCGACTCGCATTCCAGCAGGTCTGCCCCAAGCAAGGAACACTACCCCATTGGTTCGAACGCGAGCAACGAGATCGATAACTTTTTGTGTGAACTTCTCCCATCCCTTGTTGGAATGGCTGTTGGCCTGGTGGGCACGAACAGTGAGGCATGTGTTGAGCATCAAAATGCCACGCTCGGCCCAAGGCGTGAGAAGCCCACCTTTATCAGCTGGCGCCTCGAAGTCAGGATAGTCAACCTTGATTCCCTTGTAGATATTAACCAGCGACGGTGGGGCTCGGACAGGGGCTCGGACGGAGAAGCACAAGCCATGGGCTTGGTTATGATTGTGATAGGGATCCTGGCCAACAATTACCACTTTAACGGTGTGCAAAGGTGTGTGTCGGGACCTGCAATCTGGTCAGCATATGGTAATCACTTGCCACAACGGGCACAATTACCAGGAATAGATGTCTTCTTCTGGCGGGAAGACCTTAACATTGGTGTCCTTCTCCTTCTTGAGGAATCGCTTCAAGTTAAGAAACTCTGTGGTCACCACCTCATCCTTCAAGTGAGCTAGCCAGCTTTCATCCAGGGTATCGATCTCCAGTTGCAGAAGCTCCTTTTGTTCGGGCGTTAAGGAGGCTACCCATTTGCCTTTGTTGAAAGTGCTCGATCGTGGAGCTGGAGCCGGGGACCCATTAGTCGATTGTGTGCTTGAAGGTTTGGGTTTTGGAGCTCCGAAGAAAGCAGTGATGCTGCCACCTTTGGGCTTCTTCAAGTCTGGGGCAGAGATATGCTCTGATTTCCGTTTGAGCCCAGGAGTGACCATGACGAATTACTAGAATCAAGGGTGAAGAGATGAAGAGACGAAGGTGGAGGTTCCCCAGAAGCCAAGACGTGAGGCGGGAGCGATAACTTAAAGAGATCGACGCGTCGCGCGGAACGCGTCGACTGAGGCTCAAATGCCAAGAGCTGATCGACAGAACTGGTCAAGTTTGATATTCATCAGCCTCGGCTCGTTTACAATTTGGCTCGGCTAATTCTAGCAACTATTATCGCATAAAGCTTTCGAACAGATATCAAATTCGGATACAGAATACAACAGTTGAGTTACAATTTCAAGCTTCAAGTTTACAGCTCATCGTGGCCCTCCTCGTCAGAAGCAGTCTCAGCGGCCTTGGCGGCAGACGAGGTAACATCTCCACCCTGCTCGGGCTTCTTAGCGCCCTCGGCAAGACCGTCAACCTGGTACTTGCCGTTCTCCTTGATGAAGGAGACGAGATCCTCAACGGTGCGGGAGCCAGCGTACTCAATGGGAGAGTCCTTGGCACCAGCGGGGTAGATCTTGATGGTGGGGAAGCCAGTGATGGAGTCAGGCACATCGTTGGCAGTGGCATCAATCTTGGCGATGGTGACCTTCTCGTTCAGCTCGGGAACGTCAGCGTACAGAGCGGCGAGCTCATCGTACTTGGGAGCAAGACTGGAAATTATATGTTAGACATGTCAAACTAAAGCGATGCAGATAACTTACGCCTTGCAGTGTCCGCACCAAGGAGCGTAGAACTCGACAAGGACGTCCTTCTCGTTGTCGATGACGACTTCCTGGTAGTTGCGGCCAACGACGACGGTGACAGATCCCTCCTGGGTCTCGGGGATGGGCTCGGACTTGATGCTAGGCTCGACCTTTCCGTCAAGGACGTTCTTGATGAACTTGCCAACCTCCTTGACCTCGAGCTTCTTGGTCTGGTCGTAAGGGTACTTGGCGTTCTTGGCGGTTTCCTGGATAGCGAAGGCGGGGAACTTCTCGGGCTCAAGGTTGAGATTGCCGGCGTGGGCACCAAACAGCTTGGCATCGAGGGTGACAATGTTGATGGCACCACGGTGCTTCTCAGCAATGGGACGGAACTCGTCGGCGAACTGCTCACGTTCCTCGGCAGTCTCGGCGAAGATGTAAGCCAGAGGAATACCGGCCTGATGATTGTCAAAGGTTAGTTCATGTTCTATAATAGTAATTGCGCAGTGGAGAGTGGACATACCGCCATGTACTTAGAGTAAGTCTCGGGGCCGAGCTCGCCAACAAGAGGAGTGCTGGCAGTCTTGACCCATTCCAGAATGGCCTCATCCTCGAGCTTGCCATCGTACACGGCCTTCTTCTCATCAAAGTCCTTGTAGAGGACGATGGAGGGCTGCTTGACTCCCTCGGCCTTGGCGAGGGCAGCGTCGTTGGAGGCGGCGAAGAGGTAGTTGTCGCGCTGCGACTCGGCGAATGTGGTGAAGCTCTTGTTGGAGGTCTTGTCATCGGAGGCCACGTATCCGATAATCGTGATCTTGTCGAGAGCCTTGAATTCCTCCAGGTTGTCTTCGTTCACGTTGGAGACAGCAGGCATGGATTGCTTGGTCATGTATGAAACAATGCTATCGCAGAAATACGTGGTCAGCTTCTCATCAATTGCCAGGGCTCCACCATCACTTACGCGTCGGTCTTACGGGCGCCAGCGTATGGCTTGTGCGAGTCGGCACCACGGAACACCTTGAGTGTAGGGTAGCCATCAACCTCGTAGGTCCGGCACAGCTCCTCCTCCTCAGTGCAGTCCACCTTGACGAGGGGAATGTCCTTGGACTTCAGCTCAGTTGCAGCCTCCTCGTACTTGGGGGCGAGAGCCTTGCAGTGACCGCACCAGGGCGCGTAGAACTCCGCAAGCACTAGCGGGTGCTCCTTGACGAACTCATCAAAGGTGTCCGTTGTCAGCGTGATGACATTGGCGTTGGCGTCAGCAGCATCAGCAGTCTCAGCATCGGCTGCGTGGACAGCCGCGGTAGCTCCGAGGAGGCTCAGGACCAGGGGGGCGAAAGACCGCATCGTGTATGGAAATCAAACAGGGAAAAAACAAGAGCCCAATTGCTCGGTCAAAGCTGAAGAAAATCTTAGAGCTTGGAGATGAAAGGAAGTAAATATGAAGCTTACCAATATTGCGTCAGGGAGGATGAAGAGACAAAGAAAGAAGTGGGAAGATATATTGTATTTATCAACGAAGGGGCGGGAATGAAAGGACAGTTTGTTCACTAAGGCTGAGAGTGGAGCTCTGTGACTGGGCTATGCAGGGTGACAAGGGCGGTCCTAGTGTTCCTGCTAGGTACCTGGTACCTCCACTCCAGCGCCAAATTATGGGGCAACACCGGGTACAGGACACCTATACCATGAACTCCCATGAACCTCCCTGTCGACATCCAGTATCCCCTCAATCCTTTTCTATATAGGGTTACACCTGAGATGTTGACAAGTGGCCTCGACGGACTTGGCGATGTGATTAATAATGTTCATGCAGCATTCCCGCTAAGACCTATAATTCCTAAATTGCTTCTGCAGGATACTGCAATAGCTGGGGAAAAAGCAAAAGAAGTAATTTCCCTATCCGTCGCATATATACATCTTATATCCGTCTAGTTCTACTCAATCCCATCATCTTCGACTGGAACGCCAGAAGATATAGACCCATATCCAGATGATTTTGGTATGCCATCTAGTTCAGCCCCCAATGCCTTGGCATCTCGTTTGCCGCGGTCAACATCCACCAAAAGCATGAGCGGCAGTGGTACAATAATGAGGACTGCTAGGAATGCAAACGCTGGTCGGATCTCACCGTAACGATCGGTGATGGCGCCGACAATGGCTGGACCAAAAATGCTGGATCCTTTGTCGGTGATGGCATAAAGCGCATAGAAGGCTGCTTCGTAGCCCGAGGGTATGAGCTCACCAAAAAAGCTTCGACAGTAGGATGAGAGCCCACCCATAACAAGGCCATAAACTGCTCCGAGTGGGTACATTTCCCAGGGCTGATGGAGACCAAGCCCTGAGCGTTTCACGGCTGGGATGAAACCTAGAAGGCCATACAGCGGAATGAGCTCAAACAGGATGATACATGCGATGATCGTTTGTGAGGCCCGGAGGTTGAAGAATGTTGAGACATAGCTCCAAGAAAACGCACCAAAAACCCCTGCAAGCATAACGATCACGTTGATCAGTCCCAGGGCAGCCGGCTTCATATCCAATTGAGTTTTTGCAAACAATACCGCAGTGCCACTGACAGTTGCAATCCCATCGCTGAGGAGGAACCAAGCGACAAGGAAAATCGCGATGTCTTTCAGGTGACGGGCCCGCATTGCGGTTTTTCCAATAGATTTCCAGGCGTAGACCATGTATCCGATCCAGGAATGGAGCGGTTTGCCGTCGCCTCCCAGTAATGGTGGGCCTGGACGAGGGCGCAGCCATACTGCTACCGGTATGGTGAAAACGAACCACCACAATCCAATTAGGAACAAAACAAGACGTAACGAGAAAGTTGGCGGGCGCACAACCACCACGACCAATATGGAAAGTATCTGTAAAATAACTGCACCTATATATCCGATGCCAATGCCGTTGGATGAGATTCTGGTGGAAAGTTTGAGCTCCAGGGAAGTCGTGGTCGTAGTAGTCTCCTCGGCTTCCCTGTTGGGTCGTAGTAGCGGCGTGGTAGCATCCGGAAGTGCCCTGTCGATGTTTCCGGCCGAGGAAGATAGAGTGGTTTCTCTATGTGGTGCCTGAGCATCACCAGAAGTCGTTGCCTCGTCTTCTTCTTTCAACAATGACGGGTGGTGTCGGACCAGAACAGGCAAAAATGAGTTAAGGAGGACAAAGGACGCACCAAAGCAAGTATTGGAAATAATTGCAAGCAGCCCACCCAGAAGGTAAAGCTTGGGAACAATAACTAGAAATAACATCGTAGCAATTGAGCCAATGAAAGCAAAGATGATCAGGAGCGTCTTGCGATAGCTTCCATGGTCGGCGGCACCTGACATTGAGATAATCAGGACTGCTTGAACCAAGACGCTTAGTGAGAAGGTATACAAGGCGAAGCTTGCAGTGTTTATCTCAGCGCCGAGGAAATAAATGATGCATTGGCTGCCATCTGACCCCTGGGGTTGATATCCCGAGGCGTCCGAGCCTGGTGGTGGCAGGGAGGGACTCCAGGTTGCACTGCACGGTGTTGTCTTGTCTGACAGAAGGACCCCCCGATCCCGGGCCATCTGCTCCAGTGTTATCGGAAGAAATGAACCTGTCTCGGATCAGATGTGAGGCCCCAAAGGATCAACAGGTTATAAGCACACGTACCCATGGCACAGACGACGAACACCTCTGCAGCCCAGCCATAGCAGTACCAGCCAGCAAGCTCCCTCTTGCTCGTCGGCCGGCTATCATCACCGGGATATTGAGGGACATGCCTCGACTCATTCTCTTGTATACTCATGGCTGGTAGGGGCAGTCCAGACACATGGTCAGACGTGACTAAACTCAGACATAGACTATTGCGGGATCAGTTCGTTTTCGGTATTAAGCTCAGTAGAAGGCAATTCGGGATTGTAAGTAGGTCTCAACCGGAAGTTGTCAAAGGAGGTGAGGTCATGAGATGGCAGATCTTCTAGGTTGTACTAGGTACATACCGGGGAAAGTACTGGGTACCTAAACACTAGGGAAAATAAGCGTGAGATAAATGTACCTGTACCTTCTCCAATATCAGGCATCAAGGCAGAAAACCAAAGGCGGTAAGTCGTTGCATGCAGAGCGCATCGCGCTTTCATCAAATCATCAGTGTTGACCTTTTGACGCAGTCCTCTCTGGGCTCTTCTTTTTTCTTTGATATACTTTCCCTTGACCTTCCCTTCGATACTTCGATTCACCCTTTCTATCCTTCTTTTCCTACATTGTTTGGTTCCTTCGCATTGCGACAACCCGGTGCTTCTTTATCGTCACGCAAATATCAGGGATCTAAACTGTGTCCCTGGTCATCTCCCGCCGCCAGACCGGAATCAATCCAAATTTGCTGGGGCTTACTGCTTCGATTGCGACCTATTGCCATATCCCTCTGAGCCTCGACCGACCGTGAGAGGCCCACCTGGATCCTCAAGCCGTGCGCCCAGCTCCCCCGATTATGAGCGTGACCTTCCGTTTACACAGCCCGTGATACGCATGGCAATAGACTGAGGGACCTACCTGTGTCTTTTACTTTGATCTTTGCTTCCCTTCCTACCCCGGCGCCGACCAGTTCGAGCCCAGAACAGTGCCTGTGTTAGGTCACTTGTTCTGTGCCGTGCATAGGGCCAAGGAGGGGGAAGCTTGAAGCTTTCACGGAGAGTCACCGAACGGCCAGGCTGTATTTCTAGAAATTTACCGAAATGCCCGGTGTCATCATGGACAATGTCAACATCGATGGATCTGTCCGGCCGCCAGGCCTCGATGAGGCCAGAAACGGCGAATCCAACTCTTTGGGGAACGTTGATAAAGCTGCACAGATGCCCAGCTCCATGAATGGATCAGCACACGTCAATGGTGCGTCAAGCGTTGTTGATGCGTTGAATCAAACTTCAGCAACGCTCGCAGGCAAGGCAGGGGGAAAGGTGCCAACGACGCCCTTTGAACTTACTCACATTACCCAAGGGTTTTTCCCGTTTGGAACACTTGTCAATCGTTCAGTGCAGCAATGCTGGAATGAACTCTCAGAGCTGATAACTGAACTGGCGGCGATTCAAGTACCTCAACAAGCTGCCTTGGGTACAACTAATGGAAAGGCACCCGGTAATCAGTCATCAGAAAATGTTCACAAAAAATTGCGACTCTTGGACTTTGCTCATGCTAAGAGGGCCGAGTTTATTAAGCTCCTTGTCCTCTCGCAGTGGAGTCGGCAGGCCGCCGATGTGAGCAGACTCATTGATATACAAGGTTTCATTCGTACGCGACATCAATCATACGATGCAGCTCTTCAGTATGTTGGTGAAGTGAAACGAGATTTAGTTCGGGCTCAAGTTGCCAATCCGGACCTAAAAACGGCTTTACTTGTTCTATCAAAAGGCCAGGTAGCATCTCTACCAGATGTGAGTCTTCTAGTCGTTTTACAATTTTTCACCCACTAACCTCTTTCTAGCTTGGGTACAGTCCTCTCAAACCCTTGACAGCACGAGCAACGCTTAAAAAGCTGCTCAAGCTCAACCGAATTATCAGCGTGCGACTGGCATTGCACGACTCAGTTCCGCACGCACTACGGCATTATCGGGTTCATGATGGCCGGGTCACGTTTACAGTTCCTGGTGAATTTGAACTTGATCTTTCTGTGGCAGAAGTTTCAACAACATCACAATTCTTTTTCGTGGACATTCGCTTCCTTTTCTCGCCATCATCGCCCATTCCAGAGGGACGAATTCTCAATGAGCTTGATGCCAAGATTAACGAAACACTCCGCAATGACGGTTTGATGGGATGCTTCAACTTTTTGCACGGCCTGGTCCTCACCAACAAAATCAACATTCTTTTCAGACAAGCCGCGGATCTTGCGCGCGGACTCTGGGCGGATGCCCTACGTATCGAATTGCTACACCGAACACTTGTCGTTCAATACTGGCCCCAGAGAGCGGGGCCTAAGAGCTGGCTCGAGATAGGAGTCAACAGCGGTCATCGCAGCAGCAAATCTAGCAATTTAATGTCTGGCATATCACACCTCGGCTTCCGATGGATGCGAGAGGGCCAGTTGACCATCAGTGATGCCGTTAAGTTTGACACGGATGACCTCTCCATGGAGCGTATTCTCAGAAGCGTTGTCGCATTACATACCTCGCACCTTCTCTCCGCCGCCTTCACTGCCCTGAAGAAGCACTTACTTTTCGCAAAACACACGCTATCACTGCAGGCTCTACTATCCTCGACAGAACCTGGGGATTGTCACCTTGATGTTCAGCTCACAACCTCACGATCTGTTCGGGTCTCGATTGAACCGATGTCAGGGTCCATCATTCTCTGTGTGACACCAAATGTGCCCGAACGCCTGGATACTGATCGGACAGTCCACAAATCATCCATCGAAGAGATACTAACCCGTGTCGCCCGACTCCGATGTGCTACTGCGGTGGAAGAAATTGAGTCCGGTACCAAGGCACTCGGCCTTGAGACTGTGAGTCAGAGGGTACTCGGGCTTGATCCCCGTAAGCTATTCCCTCCGGGTGTGATGCGATCCGCCTTCTTCTTTCATCAACTTTGGAACCGGCAATGGGTTGCAGCAGCGACCAGCAGCATGGATGGTGACCGCTGGTGGCTTGTCCAACTTCGGCCAACTGGGACAACAAGGGCAACCCCGCCTTATAGTCTTGGTGAGAATGGCATCACTCTTCCTTGTGCCCACGTTATCAGTGAAAGTCTTGTTTCTGCACAGAGACTACTCGACTACACAACGTGCGCAGAGCTGGTTCATGGCCTAACTGGAATCTTGGCCATCCATGCCAATGCATGTTATTTGGCTGAGCTTCCTGCTTTGCGGTTCTGGCCACCGCTGAAAGAACTGCAAATGGATTCCGATCTGACGGTACCGGATCTTCTTTTCAGCTACAATCCGTCCACGCTTCCTCCTGCTTTGCGAATTGCGCTCCCTTCAGGAGTGAACAGGCAGTCACAATTAAAAGAAATGGTTCGGCTCGCATTCCATGGAATTGACAGAAAGAGCCGTTCCATAATCATGGTAGCACATGGCACATTGAGAAATCGCATCAAATCCCTTGTTCCTCTCATTTCAAAGACAGACCCTTCACTAATTACTGAAGACAAGGGTGCTGGATTCGCACTTCGTTTGCTTGTGCCAGCTGGGAATTCTGTTATCGTTGGCCTTTTCGAACGCTTGCAGCGGCTCGAGTGTGTTCTATCCATCCTCCAGTCCCTTATACTGAATGGAATGGAACCTCGCTCTTTGTCCTTGTCCCAGATTGCCTTTGCGTACGGCACAGAGACTAAATCCTCAGCCTCATTTGATATCGGAGTCTCGGGGCCTACTGTGTCCGACTACGTCGACATGGCAGCTATTTCGAAATCCCAGCCTCTCTTCCGCCTCCAATTGGGTATTAAATTCGAAAGCTCCAGTCCTCACCGCCGAATTCAAGAGGCCCTCGCCGTGGCTCTGAACCACCGTTTTACCGAGACGGGTGTGAAATCCGTTCTCCACCTCATGTCTTTCACATTCCCCCTGTTGCGGTCATTTGATCAAATCACGAACCTATCAAATCAGACGGACTCGTCTATAGTCTACATCACTGTGCGGAAGCCAACCGATTATCATATTCATTACCCTCGATTGAACTCGCGGTTCAGGCTCAACAGAATATTGCACCAGGATGAGCAGGTCTGGATGTTAAGGGATGCAAACAAAGACAACCAGTCTGGTCGTGGTCAGATCGCAACTGCGATACGAGAAAAACTTTATCAATCAAAAGGCGATGGTTGGAACGGACTTGGGGATGGAGCGGTAGGGATGCCTGACAAAGTCGGAAATCTCCTGGTCGAGTTGCACCAGTGTCTCAGTGCTCCCCATCTTGAGCTCGACAAAGAAGCCGAAGGAAAGGCAGCGATACCAGAACCGCTACTTACCAAAGGTCCGGTCTCTGCTTTACCAAACAAGACCGCTTCAAACCAAGCCAGTGGCCTGGGAGATACCGACATCATCACCATTGACTAGGCACAATGATATCTCCTATCTCCTCGGAGTTTGATACCAGTTGGGTCTTTTTCCGATTTTATCTTAACGTAAGAGCAACTTGGATGTTCTCTTCACGATGTATTCCTAGACTTCAATATGACATGCCATCTAAATTCATCTCTGTTCATGTGTAATTAATTTGTTGCTTCCGTTAAATATCGGTTGTGTTCGTGCAAAACAAGGGCTTCAAACATAGGTTAATAACGCTCTTCTCTAACCTTCCCTCGATTCCGCAGCACATCATACTCGACCCACCGGGCCATCGAAACACCGCCTTCAGGTACCAATCGTCCCGGATTCATGACATGGCAGCCCTCGTAGGTCATGCAAAATGGTGCAGCCTCGGGATCGGCCAATACCAATGCTGTTGGCAATGGATATAGTTGCAGGGCGGAGGCATGGTCCCATAAGACGGGGCGCAGTGGTAGTGGGAACGGAGAAACTGTCCCCTGGTCTAAGATTGTCTTGACGAGCCTGCGGGCCACCGACGTCCCAGGTGAAGCGGTCGTGGTTTTCACACTGTCTTGCTGGTCCATGTCGTTAGGATTCTCTGGCGTAATGAAGCCTGCATCGCCGGCAACACTGTTTGAGGGCTCATCCATGGCAACATCAGATTCTTCATTGTCGAGTGATGTGTTCACCGCGCTGCGTCTGAGTCTTCCTGAGATGTCATCACGAAAAATGGCGATATCATGCACTGGCCCGAACCACGTGAGGCGGGCCGGGTTGGAGGTCCAGATTGCGTCACCCCTAGGCTCAAGATTTTGTGCTTTGTCCAGCTCCGAGTTCGCTGTTGCAAATGCACGTCGGACTCGGGAGGTAAACAGGTCTGGAATGGGTTGGCGCGGTACCGTTGAGGCCGCACCAGCAGAGAATGCCGATGCCCAGGGGTCGTTATCACCTGGTACAAAGACAAAGGTCGAGTGCTGTAGCAATGCTGGGAAGTCGGATAAAACCAGCGCCAGTGAGTCGAAATACTCCTTGTATTCGATGCTTCCGGCTCGGCCCCCTCCACTAATGATAGCTCTTTGCACAAAGTTGCCAATCAAGACGAAAGCTTGTGGGCGTTCAGAGAGAGACAAGTCATTGTAGGTACTAAAGACCTTCTTTAAAGCATCCAGAGTCTTCATATTGTCGAGATTAACCTCGCTCATGACTGCGACTTTCAGGCGAGTGGTAGTTTCCGTGGCTTCCAGTTCGCTCCGTAGGCATTTTTCTTGGATTCTCCTCATACGTGCACCTTGTGCGCGTTCACTCCCTAGGCCGAGGAAATCGACCCATCCGAAGCCGCCACTGGAACCCAGTTGTCCACTATCGTGGCGGTTACTTGTTCCTAGCGAGATATCCCGTCGCTCACACGGGGGCCCGCAGATTGATATACCAACAAACCGGCCTCCAATCGCACCTCCAATTCCCGTGTTTCCGCCCAACGCCGCGCCTTTGACCATCTCCTCCTCTTCGTAGATGCCATCAACAAGTACAATCATGCCAGGCGCAAACCAAGCCCCATCTTCAGGTATCATCCGTGCATGGCTCAGATCCAGTGCCAAGCTTCCAGTCAGGTCCACTAGTGATAAATCTCCTGTTGGAGAAATGGAAAGCAGGCCTAGAATCAGATGCGAGGTCCCACTTCTGCCCAGCAAGTTCGCAATTGGCGTTAGTTTGTAGGATTGCCGTTGGGCGATATTAGATGATGCGCGTCGTAGTGAAGGGACGCCGGCAACACCCAAGGAACTTTGAAATGATTCATTTCGGAGCAGTCGCTGATATACAAGGTTGTATCTGTCTCGGAAAAGCGCAGTTTTGTGAGAAGGCGATGGAAACAACGACGGTTTCGACTTGATAGCTTCGAAATACTTCTTGTCCACATTATACGTCAAGCGCGGAAGATCGAAGGCGTCAATCACTTTGAGCCAATGTCTTGGATGGAGTGACAATTGCGAATCATCTTCGTCATTTGTTCCCTGGGAGTTATCTCCAGTGGTCTCCATCCGCCCATCATCCATACCAAGCGTAGATGCCTTTGAATTGTCATGCGTAGATTTCCCAGCAACGACTCTGCCACCACTCATACTGCCCTCTAGGGTCTGGAGTATAGTTTTTAGTGAGGCTCCTTTGCCCTCTTCGACAATCACGCCTCCTCCGGCTCTTTTCCATATCTTCGCAACCTCGTCCAGAACGCGCTCCGCCAGTCCCTCTTCGCGCCATCCTGAGCCGCAGTTCTTTCCCACAAATACTGCCAAGGTTTGAAGTGCGGAAGATGAAATTGTTAAATTGTGTTTGCGAGTAAATGTTCGAAAAGCCACTGGGCGCAGAGTCGAAGGCGGGAGTAGGATTGGCAAGATTGATGTTTTGGTAGGCGGCGCATTTGCTTTGTTCATTCGAAATGGACGTGCCGGTGTCCCAAACGCAGGTGAAGATGAAGGAATTGGGTCAACCATTTTGAAACGATCAGGATGTCGCGGCGTAGATGCATCCATCTTACTGGCAGACTAACAAAGAATGCAGTGGGATCTTATAATAAACGGGTGGCGAAGAAAGGAACCTTGATATTTTAGACAGGAAGAAACATTCAGATTGTTTGGCAGGGTTTGAAGTCATAGACGGGGGGAAGTGTGAGGAAGAAGGTCGCCAGAATTCAATTAAATTGAGACGCGTGACAAACGCGCCGCGCCCGAGCAAAGCTCTCCCTTCTCTCTTTTTGCCCACTTCCTCGGTTTACTTCTCTTTCTCCCGGGGACAATTCTTACTTGACTCCTTTCTTCCTTTCTCTCCTTTATTTCTTTATTTCCTTTATCATATACCCGGTTGTCTCTTCATTCTGCGCCATGACTGATACCCACCAACCTACTATGCAAGACCAGCCCGAGCTCTCTGCGCAAGAGCAGCGAGCCCAACTCGAGGACTTGATCGCACGAGCCGCCGCGAAAGATGCGACTAAAGATCACAACGCAGCTTCCGAGCTGTACTCTCAAGCTACCGAGCTGCAGGCCGAACTCAACGGCGAACTATCCCCAGAAAATGCCGACTTGCTCTATGCCTACGGAAAATCACTGTACAACGTGGCAGTGAGCAAAAGTGATGTGCTGGGATCCAAGGTAGCTGGCGAGCCTCAGCCGGTATCTAGCAACCCTCCAACAAAAGCTTCGTCTTCTGCTGGGTCTAAATCCACTGGTGAACATATCGTCAAAGATGCGATTACCAATTCGAAAACTCAGGGCTCGCCATCAAACCAGGCCACAAGCAAAGAGTCAGAACCCGCTGGATCCAAGCCGCTTTTCCAATTTACCGGAGACGAAAACTTTGTTGACTCCGATTCGGAGGATGAGGAAGATGGCGAGCAAGCTGACGAGGAGGATGACGACGATTTTGCCAACGCCTTTGAAGTTCTCGATCTGGCTCGTGTTCTGTACCTCAAAAAGTTGAGTGCTGCCGAGGAAAATGACGAAGGCAAAGGCAAATCTACAGCTATTTCTACGGATACCAAACATATCAAGGAACGACTTGCCGATACACACGATCTTCAGGCCGAAATCTCCTTGGAGGCCGAAAGATTTAGTGACGCAGTTGCCGATCTGAGAACTGTTCTCGAACTGAGGAATTCGCTATATTCACTTGAAGATCCTTCAGTCGCAGAGTGCCACTACAAGCTCTCTCTCGCCCTGGAGTTCGCGTCTGTTCAACAAGGAGGTGAGGAAGAAAGCGGTGTAAACGTAAACGAGAAGAACAAGGTTGATAAAGAGATGAGAAAGGAGGCTGCCACCCAGATGGAGCTTGCGATCCAAAGTTGCAAGGTCAGAATGGCCCAAGAAGAAAAGAAGCTTGGGGCCGACACAGACTTGGATGAGGACAAAGCAACTGCGACAAAGAGGAAGATCGCCAATGTTAAAGAGATCATTGCTGATATGGAGCAACGGGTAACTATGCCGCTCCCTTGACCGTCTTACCTGAAGTGTCAACTGACGAACAATGCAGCTTGTTGATCTGCTTCGGCCGCCTGTGTCTGTCGAACAAAACGATCAAGCCAATGAAGCTATGCTGAAAGGTATCCTGGGCCAGATTGTCGGCCAGTCAGCAACCGATCAGAAGGCGCAGCTTGAAGCGGCGAGCAAAGGAGCGACAGATTTGTCTGCCTTGGTCAAGCGGAAGCCCGCAAAACATGATTCTGCCACAAAGAGGCCTGCTGAAGAGCCTGCGGCCGATAATGGCTCGAAACGGTCCCGCGTCGATGATACCTCTTCTTGAATTGATTTGCCTCTGGAATTGCATCTCTAGGCACAAAATTTCCTGTGCTTTTATACATTCTAGCAACTACTTCAATTATCTAGGAGTTAATGAATATTCAATGAAACAAATGCGGCCTTCCAAGCTATATTAAGATATGCAAATATTCAAGGGTATCATATCACATTGTGCAATGACCACATCCTACCATAAGCTCTCGGTGATTTCTTCTCTCCACCTCATGACATTCCGAACATGGCAGGTCGACGTTCGATCTTACGACTTCGTCGACGTGTAGCGAGTCCAGGACTCCAGATGCCAGCGAACAAGTCCTCACACTCATCCTCATCCTGGCTGTCGAACTCGGCGTCTGTGGGGTCAGATTCGAGCCCTTCCGATTGGTGCTCTGATCGCATGGACGCATCAAGACCGGGCGGAGACTCCCAGCAGGCAGAGGTTGTGATTTTCTTGGTTTCCAGAATAAACTTGCCAACCTTGTATCTTTGTGATTCTTCCTCGGCTGCAACATACTTCCAGCCCAAAACACTGTCACAGAAGGCGCAGCTCACATCGCTGACTGTATGGGCACCTGTGACTAGCTGGCGAGGAACTGGGCGCTGTAATATCGTGTTGGGGAGAGAAGTTGTAGGCGAAGATGACGCGCTGACCGACACGGCCGTAGCTACAGGCTCCGCTGAGACGAGATATGCACGGCCATGGCGACCCGTAAACCCTTTGCTAATAATCTGGGAGGCAAAACAAAGGTGTGACGCGCACCCTGCACAGCGTAGGTAGGGAACATGTCCGTCCAGGTACTTCTCGGGCTTGCGGGATTTGAAGTCTGGAGGAAGCCCGTGAGTAGGAAATACGGTCGATGGGAGAAGGAATTTAGGAAAGTGGAGTTTGCGCTCCTTGGACATATTGAGGGAGAGGAGTGTAGTCAAGAGTCAAGAGTCAAGAGTCAACCTTGGAAGGGGGAGAAGCTGAGCTCATGTCTTATCTTATCTTATCCGGCTGGAAACGCGGGGAAAATGTCCATTCGCATTACAACTAAGAACTAGCCTTCAACATATCATATCATACTACAGAAACCATGCTACGGTTAGACTTCAGCGACCAAGAAGAGCCACTTGTCACTGATGGGGACTCCCTGGTCACCACTTGACATCCACGGTTCTAAGGTCGTAAGGCTGAATCCACACCACCCTAGACTTCGGACGAGCTCCATTGCATCAGTGCGTTCGGAGCGACCAACACACGCGACTATTTGTGAGCACCCAAATGTAGTCATATCGGCGAGCTCGAAAAGAGCGATTAGTCTGTGAGATGAAGGTTAGTGGACGATCTCACATTTCTGAAGCATGAACAACTAGAGTTCTCAAGGTACATACCCTGATTTGAGGCCTTGGTCAAGTGCACGGTCCTCGAAAAAGACGAAAAGGGTGCGCTCCCCGTTGTTCTCGGCCACGAATCCTCGATATATCGCATCGCCAGAGTAGTCCCAAACCTCAATCCATCGCTGGATTCGATCATGCCCTTGTCCGATTTGATTTGGGATATTTTGGAACACATCCATCCCCAGCGACTCCTGTCGCACGAAACTCCCCTCACCAAGGAATGTCGTAGACAGTTTGTCACAGAAGAGTCTCTCACACTCTTCCGGGATGGTATGTGTTGCCTCCCCTCTGAACTCTGGCCAGCCATTGCCGGGCCAGGTTCTTTCCGCGCTGGAAGCGGGGATATCGAGGGGAGGACTTAAAAGAGCTGATTTAGACCCTGAGGGGACCTCAGGGATACCACTGTACTCCTAAATTCGAGGGTTAGATATTGGCCCGTTGAAAAAGAAGTTGGAGGCCCTTACCGGCGCCCAGCGTAGTGCAGTAGTGGAAGCCGTGAACCTTGGAGGTCGACGATTCAACACTGTAGCAACTGGCGAGGACAGTGCTCTGGGATTCTTGGTCCAGAAACCGCTGCATTTGATTGCAATTACTACTGTGGTTACTCATGTACTTCGCCATGATAGTCGATGATTCCGATCGTTGTGGGTCTCTGGGGATTTGATAAACGGTCGATCAGGGTATTGAGACTGATCGGGAAGAGTACTGATGTAGAATGAGTAGAGAAGACACGGTGAAGACGGTTGATTTGATGAAAAGAAGTCGAGGATATGACTGAGCGAAGAGATCAGACGGTGTGGACAGGGGGACGAGCGTCTTTTTCAATTCGGTCACCTGACTCAACTCCTCATACATATGATCTCCATAACCCCCCATGTCTCTACATTTGGCATCAGACTCTCAGAGTACAAGTCTCTGGTTGCCATGTGGTGTTTCTCTGGTTAATACTGATTTGCAATGGGGATTTATTGTTAAAATTGTATTGAGACTATGTTAAAGTACACACTCCAGTTGTCCGCCATCTCTACCCGAAAGTCATCGCATACATAGAAAGTATGGAGGGGAGATACAAATGCCAGGAAATCAAAGAACGCCTCCAGAATGACACGCAAAGAAAAGAAATGAAGGGACAGAAATGAAGGAAAAATGAGGCCGCTCTAAATATGCATATACACAGTGCACCAGCGAAGGCCATAACGCCAAGTGACAAGTCGTAGTCGGCAACACTCTAAAGCTCCCGGTAATCACTAGGCCGTACTCTCCGGTTTCTAGCTTGGTGACGTTGCGGATTCACAGGCTGACGGAAATACGGTGAGTCCTCTTCCCTGGAGTACGGAGTACTGAAAGCTGTCCGTTGCTGGTTGGAGAAATTGTTCATGCCAGGACCTGGCCCTTGGAATCCGTTCTGGCCCATGGGGAACATAGACAATGAGGGATCTCCGTTGAACATGTTGGGAAACCCGTTGGGCATCCCACCATTGTTCTGGTCGCCGAACATACTGGGATTGAATTGCATGTTCATTGGGTTCCAACCGGGACCCATGCCGTTTGGAAAGCCAGTAGCGGACGCCATCGCCATCGGGTTCATGAATCCCATGGCATCGGCTCCAAATCCTGGACCGGATAATGGCATCATCGGCATGCCAGCCATTGGTCCAAAGCCGTTGAAGGGCATCTCTTGGTTGAAAGGGGCAGGAGGAACACCTGCCGCGTCCTCTTTGTTGCTATTATCCGGACCTTGGACATCTGATTGGTGATCTTCGGCCTTTTGTTTTTTCGCAGCATTACCCGGCTCAGAAAGTGCCGTTTCAGTAGCATTAGTGGGTTCATCCTCCGCTGGTCTCTTCTTTGACTGGGTGGGTGCAGGGTCTTGGGCTTGATTGGGTGGGCTTTGCTCTTTGTCGACTGAAGGGGCCTTAGATTCGGTTGTGGCTGCCTCTGAGAGAGGGGTTCCATCTGGGCCTGCAGGAAGTTTTTCCTTCTCCTTCTTTGCATCAGCCTTCTCTGCTTCATAGACCTTAATTTTGGATGCAGCTTCATCATCCGGGGTGAGGTTGTCAAGTAAGACCCCTTCCGTGGAACAACCGGGGCAAACAAAGTCACTTTCAATCAAGGCATTTGAGATACAGTCATTGCAATATGTTCTTTGACAACATGGGGTCTTTGTTGGCTCTAAGAACATTCTCTTGTCAATTGGGCATTCCAGGCCACGAGCTTGCAAAGCCTTGCTCTCCTCGACTGCTGCTGCCTCAGCTGCTGCCGCCGCCGAGGCCTTGGCCTTTTCTTGATACAACTCCCAGGCTGCCTTATCCGGTTTTGCAATCACAAAGTCACCATCAGCATTCACCATCACCCCTGTATTCCTCGCATCTTCGGTGGAGCCATCAGGGGCCAGAGATTCCGGTTTCTCAACTTTGGTTTGGAGTGAACGTGGGATGCCGGTCGATCGCTTGACTCGGTATTTGCCGTCGAATTTCGGATCGTTGTTGGTCGGGCACGCTTGGATCCAATGACCTGGATGGTGGTGTCAGCAGTCTGTAATAGTGGCACCTAAGTAGAGAAATGTTTACCTTTCTCTCTGCAACGGTAGCAAAGATACCCCGGCGGAGGAGGGTGGTCTGGTACGTTGACAGGCTTGCCTCTGCCACGGCCGAACACGGGTGTCGCGCTGGAAAAATGTCAGTGTCAATCCTAATCAAATGAATGTGCGAGCTCTTACTTGGCCATTTCCTGCTGTTGTTCCTGCCATTGACTAGCTTGTAAATTGAAAAGCGCATTGATCTTCTCTTCTTCGGTTTGAGCATTATTGAGTTCCAAGACATTGTTGTTCACGGATTGTCCCATCCCAGGTGTCGCTCTGTTCGTCAAAGGTTCGTTGCGGGGGGCACTGCGAGCATTGACTGGCATCTTTCCGGAGACATAACGAGCAGCACCGCCCTTACCAGGGCGTGCTGCAGGTAGTCTGCGAGCAATCACCGATGTGGACCGAGGGATGATTGTCGTGTCGTCATCATATTCTATTGAAAAGGGTCAGAAAGGGAGGGCAGATGGCGAAGGAGTAACGTACCCTCTCTGGTGTCCTCGTTGTAAATTGACAGCTCAAAGTCACTTCCGTCACCCAATCTACTTTGGCTGATAATCTCTCTTTTGAGTTCAAAGACCGAAATACCAGTGCCATCGAAGGTGACCCGTGAGGGTTCTTTCTGGGACTTGAACTTGAAATGAACGGACGATGACATTGTATTCAATTTTGTGGGGTGTGAGAAAGATGACTGTTGTATTAATCCCTGGGTTTAGAGCACCACCAGCTTGTATACTGAGCAAGAGGGGATGATAAAGAAAAAGGGTTTGTGCGATCGGAGTGTGGGGGATCACCAGTCGCAAGGAAAAAGCAGGGAAGAAAAGATATCTGCTTAATAGCAGACAAAGCACAAGTATTTAGGGAAACGGAATCAAAAACCGATAGACCTGTATCTATCGATTGGGGATGCTGGAGACAATGGATTGTGAATGAATCTTCTTGAATGCTGAATAGTGAGTGTTCAGGTCACTGCATACAAATGGAGATCAAGAAATTGAGGAATACAATTGTCGAAGCGACACTGGCGCTGAAGAAAAAAGGTGCATTCAAGAGAGATTTTGATGGTCTGTCCCGTCCTTCAAGTGATTCGCAGAGCCACCCCAACACCTTGACCTGTTATCAGACCAACTGGCAGGAGATCCTTGCAGACACCTTCTCCTATCAAAGGAATACCTGTTTATGAGCGATAAGCGTCGTGAATGTTAGACAACCGAAATCGGGATATTGCGGGTTCGTGGTTTCGATCACGTTTCGGGCAAGTCGGAAATACGGGGATGGGAAATCAAAGATCCAAAGGAAAGAAAGGAGCGGGAACAACACCCGAGACTGAGTCTTTGAAACTGGAAATAAAGGGCAGAGATGGTGCAAGAAAGAAGTTCGGTGACAACGGCTGGCGTCGACGGATAAGGAAGAGATGAAGTGGCAAGTGAGGAAAAGTCAGATGATCAAGTCCGTATTCACCGCCTTCCACGCCGCCTTGATTATGCAATGATAATCAGAGGGGCTTGCCTATTTAGGAAATTGCAGTATAACTGTACTCCGTATAATCTATATTCTTGCGTCACAGTTTCTTCGTTTTTTTCATACAACTGTATGGAGCCTAGTCTAGCTATATAATGGGATCATTTTCTCTTAATTTTTCACTATACATCTTAAGTTGATGGGCTTGGCCCTCATGATCTCTATTGTCGTAACAAAAGTGAAGAAAAACACTTTACACTCAGAAAGTATGCTGAGGAGGAAATAAAACACGATAACTAGCACGGTATCGACTCTTCAAATGTCAGCCTCAAATTGGCGAACTAAGAACCCCTCCGTTTGGAGGTGGTCTTTCACTTGAGTCACGGTAAATTCACCTCGGTGGAACTAGGACTGGTTAGAAACTCCATCACAAAGCGACATATAGATGCAAACTCACCATTCCAGCTCCTAGTGCTGCATCAGTGGTGGTTTTGTTGAAAACCTCGGCGAAGTGTGCAGGTACTCCGGCACCGCTCGAAGCGATGACAGGGATTTTGATCGCAGCTTTAACGTCATTGATCAATTCCAAATCAAATCCACTGTTGCTTCCATCCTTATCTATGCAGTTCAAGAGAATTTCGCCCGCACCCATGGCCTCAACAGCCCTGACAAGTTGTCGAACGTCCATGTCACGAGTTTCCCTGCCACCTTTGACAGTGCACTGGTACCAACAGTAGCTTTGTCCCGATGAGTTAGGAAATTTCGTCTTAAGTGTGTGGTGGTGGGTGTCCTCTGGCTTATCAACATAAACCCTCTTTGGATCGACGCTCACTACCACAGCTTGCTTGCCGTAGGCGTTGGATATCGTCTCAATGGCAGTCTCACCACTCAGCCTCTCACCAGCGTTGTAATAGTCTTCCGCAGCAAAGACAGCATCAGAACCGACGCTGACTTTGTCGGCACCAGACTTGAAATACATCGTTGCCACGTCCAAGGCAGGGACTCGTGTGCCATCGGTGTCAACGGTATCTTTGATTCCTCCGCCAATGGTCAGAGGCACAAAAACAGTTTCCGATGTCCGTCGCAGAATTTCAAGCATAGGCGTGTCAGCGATGGGGCAGTTCCGGAAAGAGGTAATGTTCAAAAAGGTAACTTCGTCTGCTCCCTGCTCGTAATATTTCTTAGCCATGTCGACAGGCTTTCCGAGGTTTCGCACGTGACCACTGGCATCTGCTCCATCTTTTTCGCGTACATCGTACTGATCGCCCTTGGTGACAACCAAGTCGCCGGCATCGTTCGTTCGAACATCAAGACAGGCAATAACCCGACGAGTGAGCCCATTTTCTTTGCCAGCAACCAGATCCTGTGAGAGGGACTGGAACTGGTCGCCATTCAAAAATGAGCGAATGGCGCGAAGGCCGGCCAAACCACTCTTCTCCGGGTGGAACTGTGTGCCAAAGATGTTGCCACGGCTGATAGCTCCAATAAACTCCTCTTCTCCATAGGTGGCCGTGGCCACGGACCAGCCTTCACTTTCCAGGGCACCCGGCTTGTAAGGAGCCGCATAAGAGTGGACGTAGTAGTACTTGCTAGTTGGCCTCAGGCCATAAAAGCTTTGCACCTTCGCGGTATCAGACCCAGTATTCATCGCCGAATTCCATCCAATGTGCGGAACACTCTTGGAACTATCGTTAAACTTTTGAATGCGAGTGGGAATCACGCCAAGTCCCGGGACGTCGCTGTCTTCCTCGGAGCCCTGGAAAAGGGCTTGCAGACCAACACAAATTCCCATGAAGGGCTTTCCAGCTTCAATATGCTGTCGGATGGGCTCTAAAAATCCACCTTTGTCCAATTGAGAGAGACAGTGGCCAAAGTGGCCAACACCGGGGAGGATCAGTTTCTTGAGTGTGATCTTGTTAGCAACCTCATGTTATGGCTAAGGCATGGGTAGAATCGCCATTGGCCAATTGACTAACATCTGCATTTTTCACATCCTCTGGTGATCTGACCCATTCAACCTCGTATCCAACTTGGTTGATCGCATTGACCAAAGAACGGATGTTTCCCGCAACGTAGTCCAGTAGGTGTACAGTAGGCATGGCTTCAATGTCTCAAACCACAAGGCTGAGGTAAAGCTGCAGGTAGAACGGATGATTGAAAGGGTTCAACTCCCGGAACAAAGAGTGGAAGAACATCTCCTTCGAGGGGCTGCTCGAGGGCCCCGCCAAAATTCGCGCGCTGAGTCATACTTTCTTTTTTCTGCCGGCTAAACTGATGCGATTAAAGGTACATCCCGGTACCTCCCCACTCTTCCTATCTATCACCTATCGCAGGTAAACTTAGGTACTTTTTATGTCCCGGCCCGATACAGATCCACTCTCAATACGTTCATTTGTCTGGGTACTCCTTTAGGTGATTTGTACTTTTGAAGCAAATCTTTGTCTATCTTTGCTTGAGCTGTGCAAGTCTTGCGCCACGTCTGGGGTCAGTTTCCATCTGTGGCTGGTCTGTCAAACTCCTGTAAATAAACGAGACCATTGGAGGGCTGTGATAGGGTCAGCTATACCACATAAATTCACTAGAGACTGGGTTTTAGGATTAGCTACCGGGTGAAATTGCCGTAGGCGAACACCTGCCTCTTGCAAGATGGCAGCACTCTGGATGGTCTTAGTTAAAGTGCAACACTGGCAGATAAAAAGCTTACATCTTTGTCCATGTTGTATCCTTGCGAGTAAACAACTTCAGATATGCCGACTTGGGCTATCTTAACAGTACATGTCAAGCAGGGGCATCTGTGATCAACAGTGAGATTTTCCTCGTAGGGCGCGTACCAAGCGTAAATTGAACGTACGTATCACAGTAAAGGATAGCGCCCTCTCGAATGCGCTCTCTGCCTGCTTCCAACAACGCGTTTTCTTCCGCGTGTAGGCAAAGGCATGTTGAGAGGCCAACTCCGCCTCCATCTCCGCGGTTGCACCGAGGGCCTAAATAGCGTGTCCAAGTCAGTGTGATGAACAATAAAATTATCAGTCACTTGGCTCGAGCCCCGATCATACATCCACCTTGGTTGCAGTTTTGGAGATGGCGCGGAGTTCCATTGTACCCAGTACTAATGACACGGCGTTCTCGAACCAGCACACATCCTACTCTTCTTTTCATGCAATTGCTTCTTTGGGCAGCCAGAGAGGCCAGCTGCATGAAATATTGATCCCAATTTGGTCGCAACCGCTCTTCATCGGCCAGGTCGAGAGTTTGTAGGGCCGAGTGTAGCTCTTCAAGGGATGACGATGAGTTGAACAAGCGTACTTGTGCTTTGTCGGTCAAGTAAACACGCCCAACATCCTTGTCGTACAAGTTATGGTCGTTCCAGAGAACAAACTTTTCGAGATCGGGCGGGTCTAGCTGTCTTCTCCAGCACCTTTTGGGTGACCCTGTCAGTCTCTAGGCTGAGATCATGAACAGTATTGCCACGAACCTGTCCGCAAATCGTTTCCATCGAAGGCTGACCGGTGCGTCAACGCTCACGAGTAAGAAGAATGGGCGCAACAGGAACCGATCTAGAGTATTTGCATCTGCAATATCTGTAGTGATCCAACGTTCTTGCCATCTTTTGGTAGCAAAGTCGAGGAGAATATCAGCATTCTCAAACATATGCTCTGGTTGGGCGTCCCCTTTCTTTCTGATCTCTGAAGCTTGTAGTCGCAGGTCATTCTCTGGCTCGGTGATCTGGGGCGGTTTGCTGGTAAGTTCAAGAAGCTGGAACCCTTGGTGTTGAATTAGGTACTCGGCAATCGCATGCTTTCCAGCACATATGCCTGACGATTCGTTAGTTCTTCGCACGGTGAGTTCCAGCGTGTATCTTCTCACCTCCACATAATCCAACGAGCATTTTTTTTTTCTTCTTCTTTCAGGTAGAGGGAGTAGAGAAAATAGAGTGTAAAGTAGAAAGTAGAAAGTAGAGGGGAAAGAAAAGAAAGAAACGCGAAAGTAGTGGGGCTGTTCAAGCCATGATCTTATCGAGCCTGATAGGAGAACGTTGGGTATCTACAAAGAATATCAAGGATCCATGATAATTCCAAGGACATATTGGGCAGTAGTCACCTGGGCATGGGATAGAGTCAGCTGACGAGGTCATGGTCCACGGGTATGTATAGATATAAGATTTATAGACCTTCCCCGCCCGCATTGACATCACCCATAACCTTTTTCCTCACTCTTGCTCAAGATGCAGTACACGCCATTTGCTTCCGATATTGAACTGCCCTTTTATACATCCCTGGCCTCCCACAAGATCAACCATGACAAGCTAGATGACTCCGCCCGGGCCGTGCTGGGCCTATATGAGATCCGCCCCTCGGATCCCGAGGCCGCATCATGTCGGATTCAAATACACGGAAATGCCCTCACTGGCAGCGAGTAAGATCGGGTGAAAGGTGTATCTCAACTTTCCCATCATTGACAAGTCACCTAGAGGACCCGCTGGCTATTACAGAGCCGAAGGCATGATCAAAAATGTCAACACAGTCGAAGAATATCGAAACATGGACAGGCCCCAGCTGCTTCACCAAGCTGGACAGACGGTAAGGATACGACTTACCAGCCTCTTGTTAACTTACTGATAGGGTTTTCCAAGGTTTGGGATGCAATCCATGACGGAACAATCTTCTCATGTCCGTCATTGCTGGCCAGCTTCATTATCGTGTCTTTTGCCGACCTCAAGAAATACAAATTTCATTACTGGTTTGCTTTTCCGGCAATCCACTCCGACCCCTCATGGATACCAGTGGAAACTGCTGGTCAAGTGTCCCAGCCACCCCAAAGCCAAAATATCGATTCTCTTAACGGGAGGTACCTATTCCCGCGTGAAAGCACTACCCTCGTGGAAGCCGTGGAGACTTGGTCCTATGCTGTGGATCATCGGCAAAGAGGGTTCTTTCTAGCTCGGAAGTCCAAAAAGGACAATGGCCATGCCTCCCCAGAAAATACTGATATCGAAGACACCGAGCTGGACAGCAACTGGCAAATAGCGTCACTTTCAGAATACGAAAATGGGTTCTTCAACGACACGGCCGCTGGAGACCGTTATGTATGTTTTGCAGACCCATCGAATTACGAACAGGCACCGGGGTGGATGTTACGGAATTTACTGGTTTTGGTCAGGCAGCGATGGGGCCTCAACCGAGTACAAATCCTACGGTATCGTGACGTGCACTCGAAACGTGAACAGGGCCGCAGCATGGTCATTCAACTGAGATCAAGCGAAAAACAAGAAGTTCAACCACCGAATGCATCGACCAAAGAACTTTCGCCGTTACCAAAGGTAACCGGATGGGAGCGCAACCCAGCAGGAAAGTTGTCAGGGAGAAATGTTAACCTCACGGATTACATGGATCCCAAAAGGTAGGCCACTCGCACGATGTTTCTCACCTCGTACTCGGCTAATGAGAATTATCACGCTTATAGATTGGCAGACCAGTCGGTCGATCTTAACCTCAAACTCATCAAGTGGCGAATTAGCCCGACGCTCAATCTTGAGAAAATCAAACACACCAAATGTCTTTTGCTCGGAGCTGGCACCCTAGGTAGTTATGTGTCTCGGAACTTGCTGGTATGTGGATCTCAACGGTCGTGCTTGGAAGTACTTGTCCTAACTATCGGTTGTTTAGGGCTGGGGTGTGAAGAAAATCACATTTGTCGACAATGGGTCCGTTTCATTTTCTAACCCTGTTCGGCAGCCTTTATTCAATTTCACGGATTGCTTGAATGGCGGGGCCCAAAAAGCACATAGAGCATCCGAAGCCCTGGCCGAAATTTATCCCGGAGTGGAATCCGAAGGCCATGCAGTGTCGGTACCTATGGCCGGTCACCCCATTGTGGACGAAAAAGCTACAAGGGACGACTTTGAAACACTTAGAAAGTTGATCGATGAGCACGACGCTATTTTTCTTCTCATGGACACACGGGAATCACGATGGCTACCAACCGTGATGGGCAAAGCCGCAGGGAAGATCGTCATGAATGCTGCCTTAGGGTTTGATACCTTCGTCGTCATGCGGCATGGCATGAATGGCGATAGCACATCATTTGAACTTGGATGCTATTTCTGCAACGATGTTGTTGCACCAGCCAACGTAAGACCGAAGGGGAGACCAAGTTGGTACAAAGCTGACCAAAATATACCTAGTCGATCAAGGACCAAACTCTCGACCAACAGTGTACAGTGACCCGTCCTGGAGTAGCCCCCATAGCATCTGCACTCCTCGTGGAGCTTTTAGTGTCACTTCTTCAGCACCCCCAAGGCGCCGCGGCACCAGCTCCGGTGGCTAAAAGCACCGAGAGGGATGACCATCCCCTGGGCATTGTACCCCATCAAATTCGAGGATTCCTATCCACATTCGAGAACTTATCCGTCACTGGCCAGAGTTACCAAAGCTGTAGTGCATGTTCGGAGAGAGTGATTAGTGCATATCGCGAGCATGGTTGGGATTTCGTGCGAAAAGCCCTAAATGAACCCGGCTACGTCGAGGAATTGAGTGGACTAAAAGAGGTCAGCAAAATTACCATCGAAAAGCACACTTGGAGACTGACACATAGAAAAGGTTCACGAGAAGGCGGAAGCAGCACTGGCGGATATTGAGTGGGATGAGGCATCTGACAATGAAGAGATCCAGATGCTCTAAGGAAAGTGTTTTCAAAGGTGATTTGCACATTATAAGACCCTGATACCCCACACTTAATTCATGGTTTTCGCTCCAGACCAACGAAAAATGCTTCTTTGGATTCCTGCCGATTGCTTTAGCTGAGCATGTTCAGATTGGACAAGGCAAACCTTACGCTGCGAGATGATTCGGGTTTTAGCCGATGGACCTTTTTGAATAGATCTCTCAATTGCTGCTCCAACTCTTTGTCCTCGGCGCCTTGGTAGAATTTGCAGACAAAATGACCGCCTGTTTTCAAAACCTCTGTGCTGAAGCGTAAAGCCGCGTGGCAGAGATCCTGTTTAATGTCAAGAAACGTCCAACCTCAACGTGTAGGGAGGTTTCATACCATACTGCCAGCATGATCCCTGAAATTGAGACCGCTGGTGTTCATCATCCTGTTATAGGGAGCACTTAGACTTCGTTTCCAGAATCCGGACGTCTGGTACCAGGGAGCAGACATATCGCTTAGAACCACATCCACCGTTCTTTCAAGTATTTTATCACTTCCACGGGTTTTTTCGTCAGGGTGTTCGGAATCTAAAGTCGGTTCCAAAAGACTAGCACTAGAATCGCCCTGAAGGCCGGGGTGGCGCGGTCTGCCTCGGTCGGGACTGCGGAGAAAGTCTCGAATGTAGGTTTGAATTTCGGGTGCGAGGAAATTGCCCTGGATTGTAGACACTCCTTTCGGTGGCTGGGCTGGGATGATATCGACACCGAGGACTCGACCGTGCGGTTGGGTGCGGTTTGCAGCCACCTTCTGGGATTAATTTCGAATGTCGACACCAACTACTCAAAATGGGGGCATAACGTACCTGGGACCATGAGCCTGGTGCATAGCCCTATACAATCCAATGAGATCAATTGCCAGTCCGAACCGGGAGATAAACGATTAGCATACCAAGTCAACAACTGTCTGCCCACCCTTGAAGATTCGATATTTCTCGTCAATCTAACCGCAGAGTCCGTGTCAGGGTATATGCTTTGAGAAAAGAGAATAAGATAAGTGCCGTTTACCTGCAATAATTTAAAAGCAGCTCTGCTTTTCAGCCCTTGCACTGCTGCTTCTCTCGTGAACTGATCCTTTTGCTGTCGAGCCTGCCAGCGCTTCGATGAGGCCTGTCTTGCCTGGTATAACGCACCAGGGCGACAAGCGTGCCGCCATGTGATTGGCAATAATGCAAACATGGCGTGAAGGTGGGGAGAGAAGTCCTCTGTGGTCCGAGATTCACAAGGAGCTTTTGCTTTCTGCCGGCAAAATAAAGTGGACCGCCAATGTCCCCGGCAAGAGTTTATTTATATACACGGGATATATTTGTAAATACCGTTCCATTGATTTCAAGAAACGGTCGAATTAAGCGCTAAAATGTGACTAAGCTGGCACAGGAATTGACAGAAAATGATTCCTATAAGTCCAATTGTCATCAGAATCGCTTGCGGTCCCGTTTCAACGGAGAAAATCCCATAGGTGCACCGAATCCAAGACCTCGTTGCAGTCGCTCGCCATTAGACGTGCTTGGTTGCTGCATACCACCTAACTTTGACGTACGACCAGCCCCTAGTGCAAGTTTGCGCCCAACTTTCTTGTTCTGACGAGGCTCTCCTTCATCATCATCATCCTCTTCCTCCATCAAACTTCGGTCTCGTGGACCACCGAGTTTGCGTTTTTTCGGCTTGACCTGCTCATGTTCACTAAGCTGTTCATCATCAGTATCAACGGGCAGCATCTGGCGATCCAGGCGGTTGGCTGGCTTCTTGAAATCCGAGACATCACGCGCCCTCGATTTCGCTGGTTTACTGATGGGGTTGCGGTCTTGAGTTGGAGACAATTGGCGCCGCAAGGCAGAACCAATGCGCTTGGGCTGACCAATGGGGTTTCCTTTGTCAAGTAGTTCATGTGTGGTATCGGCATCTTCACGCATGTCATCTTCGTCTGCCACTGAACTCAATGGGGAATCTGCCGGTGCACCTGTGCGGTTCAAGAAGGGAGTAATAGAGAATGCCGATTTGTCACCAGGTAAGGCCGAGTCTCTTTTCATCTTCTCTTGAACTCGAACGGCGCCAGGAGTTGCAATCGTGACCCCGACATGACCACTGGGTCCAGGGCGCTGGAGTGGGATAGTTCGAGAGCGTGGTTCCGAATCATCTCCTCTGTCCACTTTGCCGTTGCGTCGCTGCAATAATTCATTCTGAGCTTCCTGTAGCTTGTCCTTGGTCGATCGTAATTGCTGTTTTAGCGAATCAATCTTCCCTTCAAGTAATGCGCGCTGGCTGTCAAATTCTGAACTCTGTCGCCGTTTGTCTAGTTCTTGCTGTTGTTTTGCTCGCGATTCCCCCGCTAGTTCATTTCGTAACTCATCCACCCGTGCAGATAGTTTGGTTATCTCCGCTGTTTGCTGCGATCCCTTAGCCTGAGTGCGTTCGTGGGCATGTTTTTCGTTATCAAGTTGAATCTCCAGAGAATTCAGCTGCCGTTCCATCTTATTTTTCTCGGCAACCATAGCTTGATGTGATGAGCTTTCGGCCTTGAGCCGCTCCATTTCTGTTTGTAGGCCTGCAAGGTCTTTGGAAAGGCGAACCTTCTCAGCAAAGATTGCGTTGTAGCTGGTCGAAGTATGCTTCCAGCTGGCGAGCTCTTCCTGTTACTGTCAATGGGAAAAATTCCACGAGATTATCCAGCAAGAGGGTTGGAGCTTACTCTGAGTCGGTCTATCTCGCTCAACGAAGTTTGCGCGTGACGTTCCAAGCGATCAATTTCCCGGCAGGCTTCCTGAAGTTGAACACAGGCCTCGGAATCAGCGTTGGTGAACCGCAGGAGGTGTTCGTTCGCTTCATCCAACTGCGATCGGAGAGCTTCGTTTTCGAATTCTAAGAACAAGTGCTCCATGCGTCGCACGCGATCTCTCTCGCCTTCCAGAAGACGCGCAGAGTCTGACAGGCTTTTCTCATACTCCTTCTCCAGATGCACAGTCCTCATGGACATCTCGTACTACATAAACAAGTTAGCATTTCTCGAATGTCCTCTTGAGTTCATGGCATCCACCATACATCGACAGATGCTCCTTGAGCCATTGCCATGATGAGAATACCAGGGTAAGACAGAAAAAGATGAAGACAGAAATAAGAAGAATACGGCCAATTAAGCCCAATAAAGCTGAATAATTTATGTGTGGTGCTATACCAAAAGTAACGAGGTCCACGCAAGGGTAGACGCGTCAGGTGTTTTGGGGCGATTACCCCGATGTGACTTATGTAAGCTGTACCCCGTTACAGGTTGATAGTGGACACCTGGACTCAACTGCTCGACGTCTTCATTCATCGTGAATTGCAACCGAGAAATTCTCAATTGCAGTATAGATTCACCTTATATAAAGCTGTCCAGCTCCTTGTCATGTCAACATGAAGCTCTGGACGGCCCTTTTCCTGCTTCTTTCGGTCGTGTCCGGCGTACTGTCCGCAAAGTCAACCCCGGACAAGTTTGCAAGATATCAATCCCTGTCTCGCTCGGGGCCTGTCGATCTGGACAGCGCATCGTATGAGGAATTGACCTCAGAACCTCGAGATTATTTTGCTGTGGTTATTTTAACTGCCACAGATGCCCGTTTTGGCTGTCTTCTGTGCCGTGACTTCGAACCAGAATGGGATTTGATCGCCCGAAGCTGGAATAAGGGTACCAAGCCCGATGACCTCAAGGTAGTCTATGGAACACTTGACTTTGATAATGGAAAGGCAGTCTTCCAAAAGGTAGGCAATTTGACTGGAACCCATGGATCGTGCAACAGTGACTGACCCAAGCAGCTCATGCTCCAAACTGCGCCTGTGTTGCTTGTGTTCCCTCCAACCATCGGTCCATTTGCCAAGGTGGAAGGAGACCCTCTCCGATTTGATTTCACCGGGTATGTCTTTAAACTCTAAACTCTAGGTCCCTGGAATCTTTTCCCACTGACGTGTCCAACTTCAACAGCCCGATCTCAGCCGACCAGATCTATTCCTGGATTGAACGTCAACTTCCTGACGGCCCCAAGCCCCCTCTCGTTCGGCCTATTAACTACATGCGCATTGTGACAACTATTACCATCCTGATGGCTTCTGTCACCCTCTCTGCGGTACTGTACCCGTATGTGCTACCAATTGTGCAGAACCGGAACCTGTGGGCTGCAATCAGCCTGATCGCCATTCTGCTGTTTACGAGTGGTCAAATGTTCAATCACATTCGGAAGGTTCCATATGTTGCAGGTGATGGACGAGGTGGCATTAGCTACTTTGCCGGCGGTTTCCAGAATCAGTTCGGGATGGAGACCCAAATTGTGGCTGCTATCTGTAAGTGTGAATCCACAAGACTTGTTCTGTCTTCAATTTGGCCTCTCCGCGTGTGCAGCTTCATCGATTCTAACCGCTTCTCCAGATGCTGTCCTATCCTTCGCTACAATCGCACTTGCCCTGAAGGTTCCTCGCATGGAAGATGTCAAAGGTCAACAGCTAGCCGTCTTGATCTGGGCAGCCGTCCTTTTTGGAACATACAGCTTCCTTCTGAGTGTTTTCAAGGCTAAGAATGGCGGTTATCCATTCTATTTGCCTCCATTCTAGAGCCAACTCGATCAATAGTGCAGGATGGTGACTCCTGAAAACATATCCTTATTAGGTTGATTGCTGGCATCCCAATGTATTTCAACCAGTTCCTATGTCGACTGTTGTGGCCAATAGCTCCTGTCACCTCGTGGAAGAAAATGGTGATTTGTTGCACGGAGGTTTTCTTTTGCCATAGGGCTTTTTACACATGAGTTAAAGGAATATCCATGAGAATAGATCCACAATATACATGTCCCTCAAAATAATCCTGCTGTACATTTGTAGAAACTGATTGTAGCTGAAATGCCTAGAAGCCAATAAATAGTTCGGAGACAAGCTCCTGCACTCCTGCCTGTCAAGGTACCGTGGAGCCCCCACTCCGCTTTCACAGCTTTTCATCCCTTACAAACACTCCTTTTCCCACATCTTTCTGATAAATTCCATCTTCCTAGTTTGACTGGGTCTCGCCAGATACATGGCTAAACCCGGTGATGCCCGTATGGGCAAGATCCTGGCTTCGTCCGCGACAGGCACAACATTCTTAATCATGATTCAATTAGCATCCAGGATCTTCACCTTTGCCTCAAACCAGCTGATTCTGCGCACTCTTTCACCGACTGTACTGGGGATAGCAGCCCAGCTCGAGCTCTTTCAAGTTTCAATCCTGTATTTTTCAAGAGAGAGCATTCGAATGGCCATTCAAAGACAGCCTGTGTCATCTTCATCCAAGAGCAAAAATCACGGTCAAGCAAAAGATGCATCATTAGACACGCAGTGTATGGCATCTCAGGCAGTGGTGAATGTGTCTTATTTGAGTCTTGCCCTTGGTGTTCCCGCAACTCTCTTTTTCACCATACTATATCAGTGCTTTGTGTCAGATGAAGCTTCAAATATCGCTTTTTTCCGCCTCAGCGTGGCAATCACCGGCCTTGCAGCTCTTATAGAGCTCAGCATCGAGCCGTTTTTTGCGGTGGTGCAACAACATATGCTGTATGAGAAGCGTGCTGCCGCGGAGATGCCAGCAGCATTTCTTAGGAGTGCTGTAACATCTGCTGCCTTTATATATGGCTCTCGGGCAAACTATAACCTCGGTGTGATCCCATTTGCTCTAGGTCACCTTGTATACTCGTTTGCGCTTCTTTTTGGCTATTCCTTGCTTTTACTGAAGGGACCAGATAATAAGCAATTCTCTTTCTTGTTAACACGCGTGCAATCCAGGTAAGGCAAAATTCGCCTCGTCCAATATCACACTTTGAGCAGTTTGTTAATGAGCAACAGTGATCAGTCAAACTACATCCTGGGACTCTTCTCACGCCAATTAACGTCACTTGCTGCTAATGTATTTTTCCAATCTCTGGTGAAACATTTGCTCACACAAGGCGACACCATGCTTCTCGCAGCCCTTTCAGGGCTAGAAGACCAAGGCATATACTCTCTTGCGTCAAATTACGGTGGCCTTGTTGCACGTATCATCTTTCAACCACTGGAGGAGAGCAGCCGGAACCTATTCTCAACCCTCATGAGCCCAAATGAGAGCGGGAAGCTGAGTGGCATGCATATCCGCACTGCCAAAAATCATCTTGTAGACATTTTGCACGCCTACCAGCTGCTTTCAGTCCTCATTTTCCCGTTGGGGCCCATGATGGTCCCACAGTTGCTGCATATCCTAGGAGGTCGCCAGTGGGCTTCCCCGAAAGTTGGCAATCTGCTTTCCGTCTACTGCTACTATATTCCATTTCTGGCACTCAATGGAATCACCGAAGCGTTTGTCTCATCTGCAGCCAATCCTCGCGAGATACGGCGACAAACAGGGTGGATGGGTGTCTTTTCCGCCTGTTATGCTGTAGCGGCCTACATGTTCCTTGAGCTAGGGAATCTGGGCGCTTACGGGTTGGTCCTGGCTAACATCGTGAACATGGCTGTTCGGACTCTTTGGAGTTTCAACTTCATCACGTCGTACCTCCATCGGCATGGAGAACATTTCCCCGCAAGCGAAGTAGCCATACGACCTGCTAGCTTCATCATCGGAGCTTTAGCCAGTGTGGTCATGACCCAACAAACACTAGAAAACTCAAGATTGGGATTTTTCCGAGCGTGTGCCTTTAGTAGCACCTATGTTCTTGTGATGTAAGTGATACTGTTTCTGATATATCGCTTCTATTTGTTCTTGTTCCTAACGCCTGACAAAAATGATAGATTCTACATTGAAAAGGAATATTTGATGAGCCAGATGACAAGAATTCGTGACAGAGTATCCTCACGCGGGAAAGACAAGAGGCAGTAGAGCAATCAATCGTCAAAAGTGATCTTCGTCGCCGCTTTGTCTGTACCAATGTCCTTATAGAAAGCGCCGTATGAATCGTGCTGCTTCTTTTTGACTGTGGTTCCAAACTTCAGCAGATCTTCTGGAACGTCTTGCTTGGCGGCCTTAAGAACATTGATCAATCTGCTCAAAATTAGCACAGCACTGGAAAGATGTTTCGATTTTAATGGAGATGTGAGTAACGTACCCGCCAGACAGTCCCTTGTCAGTTTCAGTAAACATGGTGATAGCATGACCCTCGGCCCCAGCACGACCAGTTCTTCCAATCCGGTGCACGTAGTCTTCAACGGTCAGGGGGAAGGTGACGTTAATGACCAGCATTACGGCTGGGATATCAAGACCACGCGCCGCCACATCGGTTGCCACAAGAACAGTGGCAGTGCCCTTCTTGAAAGCATCAAGGTTGCGGAATCTGTCAGACTGGTTCAAATCACCGTGGATACCAGCGACTTTGAATCCTTTGTTTCTGATAAGGTTCTCCACTCGCATGGCCTCCTTCTTGTAGAGACAGAACACCAAGACCTTCTCGGGCGATTGGCCCTTTTGAGACTGGCTGAGTAGCTGAATAAGTCGGCCTTCCTTGTCTCGGGGATCAACAACCTCAACGACTTGCTTGATTCTCGTGTTGGCACGAGGATCCGCGGACGGGTCTCCTCCAATGGTAACAGTCACGGGGGAGTTCATGAATGTTGCTGCAAGGTTTTGAATTGACCGGGGCCATGTTGCTGTGAACATGACTGTCTGTCTCCTAGAGACGGGCATTGGCTGGATGATATCCTTGATGTCCTGCTCGAAACCCTTGTCAAGCATGCGATCTGCCTCATCCAAGACGAGGTAATTGACCTTGCCAAGGTTCACAGAGCCGTCGTTCTGCAGATCTTTTAAACGACCAGGCGTGGCAACGACGATGGCAGCCTTCTGAAGGGCGTGACGCTGTTCATCTTTGCCTACACCTCCGTAGATACATGTTACTGTGGTCTTCTCGGAGCCGGCATACTTGACGAGCTGGTCATAGATCTGCATTGCAAGCTCTCGAGTTGGCGAGATGATCACTGCCCTTGGGTGGTAGGGCTTCTTGCTTGACTTGGAATCGATCAATTTCTTCAGACATGGCAAGCCAAAACCCAAGGTTTTGCCACTTCCAGTCTCCGCAATGCCAATCACATCACGGCCAGCAAACAGAAGCGGCCAGGTGGTAGATTGAATCGGCGTGGGTGCGGGGAAAGCCTTCAGTTGAGAGTACAGGGCAGTGTCGCATTCTGGCAAGTAGTCAAACGAAAGGAGTGGACGGAACTTGGGCGCACCGGCTAGAGGATCAGTGATTTTGATAATCTTTTCGGTCATGTAGGTTTCAATCTCCGATTGAGGAAGCTTGGAGAGAGCGGGGGCTTCGGAGTACGAGGTTTTCTTTGTTGTCTTCTCGTCTCCGTTTTCATTGTCTTTAGGAGCTTTTGCGGGCTTCTCGGACTTCGACTTCTTCTTCGGTCGCTGCTCCGTTGAGTCATGATGGCGTTTACCCATGACTGATTTTCTGTGTTGGGGTGTGGAAATTTTTGAAGAATAAGAATGCAAATCTGAATTCTCTGGCTGTGATTGAACCGGCAGACGGGAGGAGAAAAAAAAAAAAGTTATTGACTATTGCCAGTATTCTCCGCCTACCTAACTACCCACATAGGTAATGGGGGTATATACCGCCTTCTTAATCAGGTCAAGTGTTTCGCACCGCATCTATAATGTTACCGCGACTGTGGTTCTTCCTCTACATGTATCTGGCACGAAATCTTGGGTCGGAGGAGAGCATAGGGATAGAAAAAGAAAAGATAGACTACTAGTGAGATCATAGTATTCTGAACAGCATGGGAGAAAAGAAATACATTTAAACAAATGAGGTTCTTAGTGCGTACTAGCATCAGATAAAGATATTCGGGTATAGGGTAATGCCCCTGTCTTAAATCTTCATCTACTCAATGCTGTAGGAGTTGATGATATTGGCAAGGCGAGAGGCTTCTTCGGAGTAATTGATTGCCTGGGAAGATGAGACCTGGTATCGAACACTAGAGACACAATTAGCACAAGGTCCGCGCAAGTCCAAATATTCGTGGCCGTTCTTACCGCTGCTGTTCGCCGAAGTTGTCAATCTTCGCTCGGCACCTGAAGCTCCATGTCTGGCAATTGGCATTTTGGAAAACTTCACCACAGGCGACAGGGTCATTTTCACTAAGCTGCATCAATTCATCGGCCGAGGTTCCCATAATCTTTCTTCCGGTGTCATCAAAACAACTGAGCCAAAGCTGGCCAGTGTGATCGCTGACACTAATAGGCATAATGAAACGATACTCGGGTTTAGGGTAGGTTTTGTCACACATTTCACAGCGCCATTGGCCGGGGTCAAGCTCTGTTACCTTCTTGTTGCAGTTCTCAGAGAGGCAGGCAGGGTAGCACCAGGTAGAGTCCTGCTTGATGTAGATCACAGTGGCTTTCAGGGAGAAGTAATCCGGCTGTTCAGACATGCCCAATTGTTCCTCCCGAACCTGTGCAACGGTTTTGAATTTGTCGGTCTTCGTGGATGAATTTGTAGCATTGGACAATGAAGCATGGGAAGTAAAGTTTTCCGACCTGCCTTGGGCGTCGTACCAGCCTCGGAGCCGATGAGCCTCGCCAATGTCAGGGTCGACAGTCATTGAGCCCGAACTCAAAAGACTCAGGCTCCTTCCACCAAAGTCTGAAACCTTGACTCCCTTGAACGCGACAATCGACTCGGGCGCCACACCAAAATTATTCGCGGTCGCGCCCCAGATTGTCAAGCGAACAGAAAATCCTGTGTTATCTACCAGCGTAAGCTCGCGCTTGTCGTATGGCTTGCCGGTGCTCTTTGACACAATCTGAGATGTTTCACCGACATCCTTTAGCACGCCAATGACATCCGTGGTCGTGTCCTTTTCGACGGTCTGCAGATCAGCAACAGTGGTGAAGTTGAACCGAATTTGGGGGACATCATTTTGTTCCTCTGCCTATTACAAGGTATGAGAGTTAGCGGCACAGTAAACAGAAAGGTAAGGAGAGGTGGCATAAGAATTAGCGAAGCGAACAGGATACTTACCTTCTCGACGAGGGTATCTCTCTCAAACGTAAGCTCATAGTCGTTGTTGAGATTCGTGAATTGCTTCTTGGCAATTTGTACACGGCAAGGACTCGAGATGTAATAAACACTCCCCTCCTGGAAGAGATCATAAAGGGCATCACACTGATCGTTGAATCCAGTAGCACGAATTTCACCACTGTCGTCCAATAAATTGACACTAAACAGTTTGCCCTCACCATTCTTGTTGTGCCATGTCTTGATATTGGACTTGCTAGTGCATCGCGCTTTCATCGTCCATTTGTTGGAATACGGAGAGATAGCTTCGATGGGATAGATTGTGGCATGGGCAGAGGCAGCCGCAGAGGGTCGCGTGGGCTGGGCCCGGCTGGCGGGTTGAGCCTGCGCGCCCTCCATCTTGGAGCCATAAAATCCATTGCTGGAGATTGTTGTCGGTTGGTTGACTTCTTCTTCCTCGCCTTTCACCTCGAGGGGCTTGGGTTCACCGATTTTATCAGCCTCGCCCAGTTCCTTCAGAACTTCAAGGTCCAAGATGATGAGAATTCTGCAATCGATAAGTATGGTCCAGTGAGACATCCCGAATAAACTCACTTTTTTCCCTTGACAGAGTTTGATTGGAATGACTTCAGTCGTACAAAAGAACCCTTTTTGAGGGAACCATCTGTCACCACATGGTTCGCTTCTTTTAGGTCGGTCAGTTACCCCAAGTGTGCAAATAAAGTACGAGGTTCAAGTTAACATACGGGTTGCAAGCATTGTTTGGACATAATTCGCAATGTCGCTGAAAACAGCCCGGTATCGGTCTGGATGGTTTGGCTGAGGTGGCAACGCCTTGATTTGGACGCACTGAACAATGGGTTCCCGGACCTGGGGTTTAGTCTCATCAAAGATGGCACTGTGTATGGTATGATTAGAATAAAGATTGTTAGGGAGCTTGTTGGAAATCAAACCTGAGAGCCCCAACAGTGACCTGGGATGCTGCATCAGAAGCCATGATGTTATGGCTTGCGATGGAGGTAAAAACACGGTTCGAAAGATATGGAATCCGATAGGCTATGAGAGATTGGGAAATAATCGAATATGGAAGAAAGGACGTGCAGACTTGTAGAGCAAGTTGGAGTTGGCTTGGGTGAAAGGTGCACGACGCACGACGCGTGTTGAGAAAAATAACGCGTTAAGTGGCTGAACCCCACCACATGACTCTCGGTGCCTCAGGCCTTGTTCCCAGCTTACCCCACGCATCCCAGAACTGCCTTGATCTGCCGCATCGGGAATCCTTTTCTCGTCATCCCTGCCTACTCAATTTCTAACAGGTGCTTTCAGAGTCTGAGCTACAGATTTACCTTCCGAATATGGCCTCTTGCTTTCATGCCAGTGCCGCGGGTTTGTGACAATACTATATATGAATCATAACGCACTGAACTGACAGTTTATCTTGTGCCGCAGATCTGATTCCACCGGGGCCTTCTCAGGCTGTATATCGAGATGATTGCACCCAGTGCTTTGATTCTATCGTATGTGGTTTTGCTTCCTGCTCTGTGTACCCCACAGTTGGTCTGACTCTCAACTCAAAAGGATGACGAAAGCGGTCTCAACGTCTGTCTGTATTGTTTTAATGGTGGATGTTCCGGTGATAGGGACCATGCTCTACTCCATTACAAGCGGTTCGGTCACCCCCTAGCTCTTAATATCCGGAGAACTCCCAAAAAGGTCCAGGTAAGACCTCCAATCACATTTCTGTTTCGAGATCAATGATGCTAATGCCTCAAAATGATAGCGCGACGAGCCTCCGCCGAAAATTTCCAAGCTTGCCATCGCCGCCGAGACAGAAGAGGATAGGTATGATATTGCTACCTCGGTGGTATGCTATGAATGCTCTCAGCACGATGTCGATAAGAGCATTGGCAATCTACCTGTGGTAATTGAAGGTATTATGACCGCAATGACCTTTGCCAAGAGAGAAGAGATCAAGGCCTGGGAGCAAGAATTTGTTCCTTGCGAGCATACACTCTGCCTAGTTCAACAAGAGTCTGAACATGCCGCATCCAAAGGTATTTACGACTCACACCAGTACTTTAACTGCGGTACTAATTGGACGCTAGATTCAAGCCATTGTACAGAGTGCGATCTGTCCGAGAACCTCTGGCTGTGTTTGGAATGCGGGAATACAGCTTGTGGACGAAGTCAGTTCGGTGGCAGTCGGGGAAATTCACATGGTCTTACTCACGCCGACTCAACATCACATGCGGTTGCCGTCAAGCTAGGTTCCATCACAGCAGAAGGCTCGGCTGACGTCTACTGCTATAAGTGCAATGAGGAAAGAGTGGACCCAGAGCTGGCCTCGCATCTTGCGCATTGGGGAATTTATCTGGCCGGGCGTGAAAAGACTGAGAAGAGCCTTATGGAGATGCAGGTTGAACACAACCTACTATGGGAATTCTCAATGAAGACTGAGGATGGCCGGGAACTGACCCCTATTTTTGGGCCCGGCTTTACAGGTCTGGCCAACCTTGGGAACAGCTGTTATCTGTCCAGCGTCGTGCAATGCATCTTCTCGGTGGCCGGATTTTGTGAGCGATACTATCAGCCGTCTGAAGAACCACCACTTTGTCAAACACCAGCGCAAGACTTAGAGACTCAATTACGAAAACTCGCGGATGGAATCCTCTCTGGACGATACTCCCGACCCGACTCCCGCCTTCTTTCGTCTCCGGATGCAGAAGCTGCCCATCAAAAGGGTTTAGCGCCGACCATGTTCAAGTACCTGGTAGGGCAGGGCCACGAAGAATTTGCAACCATGAGACAGCAGGACGCCTTTGAATTCCTTCTCCACTTGTTCAAGTTAATCAGCCTGTCCAAGCACACTGGTGAGCGGAAAAATCCAGTGCAGCTATTCCGTTTCCTAGTTGAGCAGCGTCTCCAGTGTTTGCATTGTAAGAAAGTCCGCTATCGAGTGGATGAGCAAGACAACATCTCTGTTGCAGTTCCCGCACGTCGCACCACTACCTCGGACGAGACCGGAAGTCAGTATGAGTCAATTACTCTGTCAGAGTGTCTGGACATCTTTACTTCGGGTGAAGTTGTTGAGCTTACATGCCCTGCCTGTGCCAGCCAGGGTGGCTTTATGAAACGGTCGACATTCAAGACGCTGCCTTACGAATTAGCTGTCAATGCTCGTCGATTTGAATTAGTCAACTGGGTCCCTACAAAGCTCGACATCCCTGTCCTTGTGGATGACAAGCCACTGGATTTCAGCTCCTACATGGCTGCTGAGCATGATGCTAGTGAGGAGCTACTTCCAGAAGTGGACGAATCCACGGCATTTGAACCGAATCCACAGCTACTTGATCAACTCTTAAGCATGGGCTTCCCTGCCGTCAGGTGTGAGAAAGCCCTCCATGCCACTGGTAACTCGGATCCAGAAGCTGCCATGAATTGGCTGTTTGCCCACATGGAAGATTCAGACATCGATGAACCGGTGGCCCTGGGTCAACAAAGCGGTGGATCCGATGGTGCTGAACATGACGTGACAAAAATTGCTCAACTGGGCGATATGGGCATCGAGGCGCCCCGCGCTCGACAAGCGTTGGCTGCAACCGATGGCGATGTCAATCGGGCCCTTGATTGGGTTTTCAGTCACCCTGACGAGCCAGTGGACGAGGAAGGCGCCGGCGGTACAAGTGATGATACACAAGCTCATGATGGCCAGATTGGACTCGACAGCTTACCTGCTCGTTATGAATTACGGTCGATTGTATGCCACAAGGGCACTTCTGTCCATGCAGGGTGAGCGATCCATTCCTTTCTCTATATTGTGGGTTTACTAACTATCGCTAGACATTATGTTGCCTTCGTTCGCAAAACATTACCCGGTCAAAACCACCTGTCATGGGTTATGTTCAATGACGAAAAGGTGGTCAAATCTGAAGACATTGAGGCGATGAAGAGAACGGCATATCTGTATTTCTTCAAACGGGTCTAGGAAATTAGATATTCGTTTTCTTTTCATGTGTGGCGTGAGTTGGTTGCATAAGGTGGAGTGAAAAAAAATTCCTATATTTTATTCTCTTTCTCTCCCTCCCACTTCCCTGTCATCTGGAAGGGGGTAAGTGTAACATGCTTTCAGCTGGCGCTAAGTTAAGTAGTTGGTCTCACGATCCCACGTAAGAGACGTGGGATATGATCCTCGAAACTCCCCGAGCTGCCAACTCATCTCAGGTTGTACGGCATACAGATGGCTTAGGTGAATATCCAGGATTAGGGTATGAGGAAAGGACGCGTGATTATAGATATTGTACGTGTTCCTTTCCTTCCCTCCAGATGAAGATATGGTTTTCTTTCCCAAGGGCATATTCCTTTTTCTCGTCCTGATTGCCGCTATTCAGCGTACTGGACTTGCCGACACTGCTCACCTTCGGTCACTGCATCCTTCCAACTGGATCAGCTAGCCCAGTTTGCCCTCTATGTGTCAAAAAAGACGCTCGTCAGCCGTTCCAACCGAGGCTGTGCTCTAGAGAAGCTCCAAATCCGTCGCAATTGGAGAGCCTTCTCTGTAGGCGAGAAAAAGATATACATCAAAGCCGTGATTTGCCTACAGGCGTTACCTTCACGGACTCCTTCATATCTAGCCCCCGGAGCCAAAACCCGGTATGACGATTTTGTGGCTACCCACATCAACCAAACACTCTTTATTCATCGCATGGTAGCATTATCTTCCCCTTTCTGGTACGGCTTAGCTGATATGCCACAGGGTACCTTTTTAGGCTGTCATCGGTACTTTATCCATGAGTTTGAGCAAGCCCTACGTGATGATTGCGGTTATGCTGGTGACTATCCGTGAGTCTCCCGTTTTGACTCTACCGTTTTCTATTCTGTTCTTAATGTGTGCATCTAGCTACTGGGACTGGGGCGCAGATGCCGATGCCATGGAGAAGTCTCCAGTGTTTGATGGAAGCGATACTTCCCTGTCCGGAAATGGTGCCTCAATTCCAAACCAATTGGATATCAAGGTACCTCTGGGCAATTATACACCTACAGTCCTCCCGCCTGGAACTGGTGGAGGCTGCGTCACTAGCGGTCCATTTGCTTCCTATATAGTCAACATGGGTCCGTCATTCCTATCTCTTCCCGGGGGTAATATAACGTGCGTGTCCAATCCCCTCGACTATAACCCCAGCTGCTTTACACGAGACCTTGCTTCGGTGGTCCTACAGAAATATGCTAACTATACCTCGATTGTGCGGCTTATCCTAGGCAATCATGGCGTATGGGACTTTCAGTCCGACCTCCAGGGCTTGCCGGGGAGTGGCTCGCTAGGTGTTCATGGTGGTGGTCACTATGCTATGGGTGGTGACCCTGGCCGCGACGCTGACAACAGTCCTGGCGATCTGGGCTTCTGGCTTCATCATGGCATGATCGATCGTGCGTGGTGGATATGGCAGGGCTTAGATTTGGAAACGAGACAGTACGCGATCTCTGGAACTGGCACATTTCTAGACCAACCCGCCTCTCCTAATGTCACACTTGAGACAGTCATTGATATTGGACATGCTAACGGTGGTCCTATTGCCATGGGTGAGCTCATGAGTACTACTATGGGACCTTTTTGTTACGTTTATGTGTGATACTTGATTGATGATGTGGGATATGTCTAGGCTTTTAAGGCTTAATAAATAGGCTGGTGTGAGCGGGCTATTGCTTCTAATATTCTGGGTTGTTTTCATGGCTGTTTCGGTGGTTATTATTGTAAGAAGATTGGGGGGATAAGGAAGTAGAATGTGAGGAGAGCATTGTAACTGTCGTCAGGCCTCTGACATAGAATGATGACTATAGCCTAAGTGTTGGATACTAGTCATATGTTCCTTCCCACCCCGCCCCACTATATTGGCCCAACAAGTAACCCACCATTTTATTTTTTCTTCCTACACCTCCCCTATTGCTCCAATTGCAATAAAAATAGGCGTATAGAATAGCAAAACGGCGTTAGCTTACTACTATACAAAGGTTAGCTATTGTGTCTACTCACGAGTGTAGCGTCTCGTAGGAAAAATTAGCTAATAACTTTGGCTGCTCTCGACGTACAATCTATAATACGCTACAACGCTATTTAGAAGACGAAAAGTTAGAGAATTGCGAAAAAAGCGGCCGTCCCGTAATTATTAGTGAACGCGCTTACTCTTACCTCTATTTATAGGCACGTTAGTATCTATTTTAGATCTATAAATAGCTAAGTGCTACTATAGCTTAGAATCCGTCACCCTCTACTATATATCGAATTTTAGAGCGATTCAGACTTAGAAAAAAGTGATCGTAATAGAAAATATTAATTAAGCCTCCTCTTATAGGGAAGAGGCTAAAATTTACGCGAAAATAGTGATATAAAAGCTTATAATTATAGATCTTCTTAGATAAGTGTTCGGTATAGCGAACCTCGGACTTTAGACTATAATAGTGCTTTTATATAACCTTAGAGGGGCTTCGTAGAGACTTTATAAATACTAAGGCTTACGTTAAAGATATTTTATAAATAGTTTAGGCCGGATTCTAGCTAGGAGGTTAAATAGATTTAATAATTATATAGCGTAATAAAGAATCGCCTTTAGGGAGGAGTTATACTATAAAGCCGTATATTTTAAAGATTAAAAAAGGTCTAATATTAATCTACACCCCTAATTTAGTATTTTAGTAAGATAACGAACGTAAGGGTTTACCTAGCGAAGGATATAAAGAGTAGTTTAAAACTTATAGAGTATACGTTAAAGACTAGCCCGCGTACTTACCCGATTTAAACCTAATTAAACTAGTATAGCGCTAGTTGAAATTAAACTTTTTACGATATTTCTAGAGCTTATTAGCTAAGGAAGGTCGGAGGTAGACTAGCAATATTTTAAAAAAAATACCTAGTATAAGCTTAGAAAATATTAGATTAGGTAAAGATAGATTCGCTAATATTAAGTATAGGAAGATATTTAAAGGTTGTACGGAACGCTAAGGGGTATTATATAAAATATTAAGCGAATTTTAGAAAGTGCTATTACTAAGTAACCCTAAAATTTAATTATATTATTATAGACTATAAAATGGTGGTGCTATATACTATATAACTAATATATATATTTTAAGAGGAGTCCCGAAAAAGTAGAGTAGGAAGCAATATTTAGTAGGGGATAGTAGTAGAGGCCCCTATAAGTAGATCTACGAGTGTATAGCTAATAGGTATAGAATAATAGGTAATATATAATAAAAGATTAAATAGTAGTCTACTTAATAACTAGTAATTATTCCGTAAGATAGCTACCTTAAGAGTGTAGTAAATAATATTATAGCTAATGTGTTCCTAACTAGCCTAATTTCCTAATATCTTCCTAAGTATTTATTAATACCATACGATACGGCGTAGGATTATATTAGGAATTACATAAGACCTATTATAGGTCTCTAAAGGTAATAGTTAAGTAGATATCTAATACTATCTAGCCGACTAGGACTAGGAAGCTAGTTACTTATTATAAGGGACGATAGTAACTTAATTTTACTAGGGGATATATAATAAATATAAGTACTATAGATCTATAACCGCTAATCCTTAGGGCATTAGTAGTGCTAATAAGTTAATATATTTTTACGATTAATATATTAGAAATATAATAACTATAGAATACCTAATTAGGTTTAGAGAGTAGAAAGGGGGTTATAATATCGTCTAAGGGTCCTTTTACGGAATACCCATTATTTATATTATTAGAAATATAGATAGTGTAATTAGTAATTAGCGTACAGGCATATTAATAAGAAGTTATGATATACGCTTTTATTTTTTAAAACGTTATAAAATAATAGCTAGTTCTTATCTAGTATATATATATTAAGTAGCCTAGAAACCTTCCGAACTCTTCTAGACAATTATTATTATACAGGAGGGAGAATAATTCCGGTATTATCCTCTATCTATCCTTAGGATTAGATTATATTTTCTTATCTTTAGTTATTAAGCTATATTTTTATATCCTACTAAGGATTGTAGTTATAAAGTAGGCTATACTTGACTTAGTTAAACTAAGTCTTTCTTAGTACTACTAATTAGCTTAAAGGAATAAACTATTATATTATCCCTTACCTTTAAGCCTATAATCTCCTAAAGGGAGAGATACTCCTAGAGTATTAGCTATTAATACTTGTAGAGTTTAAATCTTATAATATATACAAATATTACTAGATTCTAGAGCGTCTTCAGTCTTAATAAGCTTTAATAGTAATAATATATATATTATATAGAGTTAGATAGTCGCTCTACGCCTACGGTAGTAGCTAGACTATATATAATATCCTAAGACTGACTTCTAAGAATACCCTACTTATATTTATAGTCTTTCTAAAGAGTATAAGATAATATACGTTATAATACTTAATAATAATAAATATTAGTTAACGTTAAATATAAAAGATTGAGGTAGATATTCAAATTTACTAGTATTAAGATATTAAATAAGCTTATCCTAATATAGAGTATTAGTATAAAGAAGGGGGTTCTAGTATTTATAGGATAGAGCCTACCAACTAGGTAGGGCAAAGATATCTAGGAAGTAGATAGTATATTAAAGGAATATAAAGACTAATTCTTAGAGAACCTCTACGTTCTCCTAGACTAGACTATTTAATATAGGGGATTAGCGTTACGATAAGTTAACGCTAACGCGTTACTATTAATCTCTAAGGGGTATTAGAGAGGTATATAAGAGATCTATATATAAATCCTAAGGACTCTATTATAATTAGATTCTTAAAATATAATTTATGTAGACTTAAGCTCTAAAATACTAACTACTAATGATAGACTATTTAGCGGTAATTAGCTTTCTTTAAGATATAAATACTACTTATAAATCTTAAATTAAGTTTTAAGACTATTTATAATAAATATCCTTTTAGCTTATCTCTTTTACTCTATCTAATTCTTATTCTTTTAATAAGAAGGGTCAGAGCTTTGATAATAGAGATAAAATAGCGCCTATAGTATAATAATATTTATTAATACTATCTATATTCTTATAGTATGTTAAAAAGGTTAGCTAATATAGATTTAATAGTTAATAATAATATAAGATATTTCTAAAGAACTTTCTTTTACCTAAATATCATAATTAACTTCTTAATATAATTAAAAAGGCGGTTATATATACGTAAGATAATATAAATACTTAAGTCTTTAGACAATAGGTTAAGAATAAAAGAATAGATATTTAGAGATACCTTTATATCTAAATAATATAGTAATATAAGATATATAAATACTAGTAGCCTTAACACTCTACTAGATAGTATATAATAACTTATTTATAGCTTAAAGTAGTATTATATTACTTAAGATATTATTAGTAGTAACTATAAGCTCTTAGTTAAAGATATTATATATTTATAGAAGCTAACTAATAATCCTATAGTACTCTTAATATTTACCTAAAAATTAATATATTACTACTATAAAATAGTCTAGTATAAGTAAAAGCTTTACCTAACTGCTTAATATTTTATTTACTTATTATATTTCTTTTATACATTATCCCCTTTATATATTTATTTATAGATAAAGTATACATATAGCTAACTATAGGATAATTAAGGACCTTCTATATTATTTATATATTACACTTAGCTTACTACCTCTAGCGTTTATAAGTTAGTCGAAACTATCCTAGTAATCCGCCTAATAGTGTATATCCTAGTTAATATACTTTACCTTTCTAAAATATATTTAAACCTACTACTTAATAAATCTATTTCTTATTATATTATAATATTAAATAAAGGTAGTAATATAGTTAGATTAATTAGCGTAAGAGAGGAAGGTAGAGGAAGTTATAATAAAGAGCTTAGAGGAGCGAATTAATAGCTATTATAGGCTAGGATTAAGATTCATTAACTTCCTAACGCGTAAGAGATACTAAATAGTATATTATTAGAGAGAAGCTAATAAAGAGTATCTAGTTATACTCTATTAAGATTTATAGCTTCTTTAGGTATAAAATACCTACTTTACTAAGTATAAAGCTTATAATTAGTATTAAACCTACCGTATATAGTATAGCTTAGGGGTAATACCTTATATTAAATAGGATCTCTCTCTTATAGAGGAGAGATTAGACCTAAATAACCTTATTAGCCTTAACTATAGCTTCCTAGCGTTATTTATTATATCTCTACTTTTAATATACCCCTTTAAAGGTTAAGAAAGTATATATATTAGAAAATTATAATATAATAAACATAGATTAGATAGATATTTAGTAAGGAGTAAGTTATAGGTTTTTATATAATTAAATAATAAAACGAATATTAGAGCGATTACTTACTAGATTATAAGTTAATAAGGGCTTCTAATATACTACTCTTATTAGTAAGTTATAGATACTAGTTAAATATTCCTTCCTACTCCGCCCTACTATATTAGCCTAATAACTAACTTATATTTTTCTTTTCTCTCCTATACCTCCCCTATTGCTTAGATTATAATATAATTAGGACTAAAGAATAGTAAAATAGCGTAGCTATCTATATACTAAAGGTTAGCTATTATCTATACTCGTAAGAATAGCGCTACGTAAGTGTAATTAGCTAATAACTTTAGCTACTCTTAATATATAATTTATAATACGCTAAAACGCTATTTAGAAGGCCAAATAGATCTCTTGCACGGGTCTCTCGTACCCTCTCATACCCCTCAGTGATCGATAGCAACGCGTCAGCGTTGACTCATCGTAACGCTGATCCCCTATGTTAAATAGTCCAGTCCAGGAGAACCCAGAGGTTCTCCAAGAATCAGTCTCTGTATTCCTCCAAT